GCTGAGGGCAGAGGCAGCAAAAGCTGGAGTTTCAGAGTTCTGTGAGGTCCAGGCCTGGGAGACACGGTTGCCACAGGGAAGTGACATCAGGGAGCTCTGCCATCTTGAAGAGCAGCCAGCTCCTCAGGTGACCTTCAGTGCCTCTGGGAAGACAGAGAGCAGCACTCAGGACTATTAATTACTCTAAAGAATCTACTAGAAGCTTCCTGTAGTAACAGCCATTAGGATTTGGAGACAGTACTTGGAGCCCGACTGTGCTGTGTCTTCCTTCCAGGGAGGAGGCCCGCTTTGTGTTTTGGAAGAGGAATGACAGTGTAGGCCAGGGTGCAGGGAGCCAAGGCAGACTGTGACTGAGCTCCCGTGTCTATCCTTAGCCCGTGCTTACTCAAACCATGCTCACCTGAGTGGCCAGGGTAGCCTCAAGCATGTAGCAATGCCCCTGCCTTAACCTCCTATGTGCTGCGATTGCAGGGGTGAGCTAGCTGACGAACACAGGGGTTTTACTGGTGGTGGTGGAGGGGTGCCGAGACAGAGCCCCATCTAACTCAGACTGGAATCACACTTGATTTGCTGCCGAGGACGACATTGAACTCCTGATCTCCTGTCTCCACCTCCTGAGTTTTGGGATTGCAGGGGTGCACTACTGTGGCCAGCTCAACTGCAACTTTAAAACAGCAAGAACAAAACTGAGACCAAGGATGGTGGTGCACACGGTCAGTTCTAGCTCTCAGGAAGCAGAGGCAGGAGGATCACTATGAGTTTAAGGCCAGCCTAGTTCGACACAGCAAGTTCTAAGCCAGCCAAGGTTACATAGTGAGATGCTGTCTCAAATAAATAAATAAATAAATAGATGACCGTGGTTGACTGCGAGTATGCAGGTGGAAGCCAAGGACATGGAGGGCTGACTGCATACTAGTGGACAGAGGTGGTAGTGTCACCTCACCTCTCTGAAGCTTGCACGCATTTCATTTCACTTGGTCCCTTAGCCTGTCTTGTGCCACTGCCACTCCAAGATGGGGGTAAACATTGGGGTTATTCCTACCTAGATCCTGCTGCCCTGGAGGGGTGTCAGGTTAATGGGGCAGGGCCTGGTTCAATAGCCAGTTCGTGCTGGCTGGGAGTCCCCCGGCCCACCCTCAGTTAACTCCGTGAAAGAGAATCCCATGGACTGTCCTGTTGGCACTCTGGATGGTGACCTCTCTGCGGCTCGCTCTTCCATCCCCCTTCAGGCAGAGGAGGGGAGCCTTCCCACAGCACACTGGGAGAGGCTTTAGGATTAAAACCAGCTGAGGCTCAGATCTGGAAATTCTATCTTTGTATAAGGGGCCGGAGGGAAGGAGAATGAAGGGTGGGAACCATGTGTGGCAGAGGAAGGACTGAGTCACGGCTGAGTCTGGTGAGTCACAGCCCAGGGATCAAGCCCCTCATGACTCGGGGCCAGTGTGTGGTGGGCCAGCTGGGTGACCAGGCAGGAGCGCTCGGATGTGACTCCTCAGGAGGCCCATGAGGACCTTAGCTTTCCTTGGTCATGATGTCCTCCCCACACCTCCCAGGGTCCTGAACAAAGGGCCAGATGTGTGAGTGCAGGGTGAAAGGAGCCAGTGCAGTGAGTCTGAGGGGGCCTGGCGGAGGCAGCAGCTGTGAAGGAGGGCTTGCCCCTCATGGCTCCCTCAGCCTTCTCTCTCATACCACCCCAGGACTGTCTGGCCAGGGCGGCACCACCCACAGCGGGCTGGACCCTCCTGCATCGATCATTAGTCAGGAAAATGTCCCACGGATTTACCTGCAGGTCCATCTGAGGGAGTCATTTTCTCAAATGGGGTTTCCTGGTCCCACATGACCCCAACTCATGTCAAGTTGACAAAAACACTAACCAGCACAAGGGGACCGAGGCCAGGGGTTCAGCCAAGGCAACTACTGAGGCCAGGGGTACAACCCCTTACCAAGGCAACCGCTGAGGCCAGGGGTTCAGTCCTCGCCAACAGCACCACTGAGCCAAGTAGGGACCCCAATCTGCAACTTCATCTTGGAAGAAAGGAAGGAGAGGGAGAGAGGTCTAACTGACCCTGGAAGACAGGACAAGGAGCCCCAGCCGGCAGGAGGCCATGTTGGGCAATTTTGTCCATGCCAAGAACCCTGCCCTTCCTGCAAGACTGGTCCCTTGACAGCAGATTGCAGCTCAGCCATTTGCTCTGGGGGCCAGAATCAGGGTAAAGGGAGCCTTTAAATGGACAGTGTGCTTTCTGACCGACCCAATCCCCTCCTATCTGCTTCCCCATCCCATCTGTGCCTACGATCAGTGTCTTAGTCTGGGTTTCTGTTGCTGCAATGAAACAAAAGCAAGTTGGCAAGGGAAGGGTTTATCTGCCTTACACTTCCACATCATAGTCCATCACTGAAGGAGGTCAGGGCAGGAACTCAAACAGGGCAGGAACCTGGAGGCAGGAGCTGATGCGGAGGACACGGGAGGGGGGGGGTGCTGCTTACTGGCTTACTCCTCCCTGCCACTTCCAGCACAGGTCTGGCAATGTCACCATCCCCCATTGGGTGACCTCTGGGTTCCTTTTGTCCTGTGGTGGCTTCTTGGTTCCTTTGCTCCATTATATCCATATGGATGTCTTGAGCAGAAAACTGTTTAAACGACACATAATCACAAATATGGGTAGAAAAAGCAGTTGGAAACTAGAGGAAAAAGATGTTTACTTTTTTTTTTAATAGGCCAAATGTAATGGATTTATTTAAAATATATGTGGAATCTACTAGATTTTTCAAAAAGCATTTTAAAAAGCATTTTTTGTTTTGTTTTGGCTTTTCGGGGAGGGTTTTTCTGTGAAACAATCCTGGCTGTCCTGGAACTCTCTCTGTAAACCAAGCTGTCTTCACAGAGATCTGCCCACCTCTACCTTCCAAGGGCTGGTGTGAGCCACCACCGCCCAGCCAAGATTTTAATTTTATTATGTGTATGGTTGGGTGTACACACGTGAATATAGTGTCCACGGAAGCCAGAGGTATAGGATTCTTCTGGAACTGGAGTTACATGTGGTTAAGAGCTGCCCAATGTGAGTGCTGGAATTCAGGTTCTCTGCAAAAGCAGCATGTGCTTTTAATCTCCGAGTGATCTCTCCCACCCTGAGGAAGTATTCTTTTTAAACTTTCTTTTAATCGACACATTATGGGCACTTATGGGCACAGTGTGCAAATTCAGTGCAGGTATGCAATGTATGCTGTGCCCAGCGTCCCTCTGCTGTGCCCAGCGTCCCTCCCCTGTGCCCAGTGTCCCTCCCCTGTGCCCAATGTCCCTCTGCTGTGTCCAGTGTCCCTCTGCTGTGCCCAGTGTCCCTCTGCTGTGTCCAGTGTCCCTCCCCTGTGCCCAGTGTCCCTCTGCTGTGCCCAGTGTCCCTCCCCTGTGCCCAGTGTCCCTCCCCTGTGCCCAGTGTCCCTCCCCTGTGCCAGCGTCCCTCCCCTGTGCCCAGTGTCCCTCCCCTGTGCCCAGTGTCCCTCCCCTGTGCCCAGTGTCCCTCCCCTGTACCCAGTGTCCCTCCCCTGTGCCCAGCGTCCCTCCCCTGTGCCCAGTGTCCCTCCCCTGTACCCAGTGTCCCTCCCCTGTGCCCAGCGTCCCTCCCCTGTGCCCAGTGTCCCTCTGCTGTGCCCAGTGTCCCTCCCCTGTGCCCGGCGTCCCTCTGCTGTGCCCAGTGTCCCTCTGCTGTGCCCAGTGTCCCTCCCCTGTGCCCAGTGTCCCTCTGCTGTGCCCAGTGTCCCTCCCCTGTGCCCAGCGTCCCTCCCCTGTGCCCGGCGTCCCTCCCCTGTGCCAGCGTCCCTCCCCTGTGCCAGCGTCCCTCCCCTGTGCCCAGTGTCCCTCCGCTGTGCCCAGTGTCCCTCCCCTGTGCCCAGTGTCCCTCCCCTGTGCCCAGTGTCCCTCCCCTGTGCCCAGTGTCCCTCCCCGTGCCCAGTGTCCCTCCCCTGTGCCCAGTGTCCCTCTGCTGTGCCCAGTGTCCCTCTGCTGTGCCCAGTGTCCCTCCCCTGTGCCCAGTGTCCCTCCCCTGTGCCCAGTGTCCCTCCCCTGTGCCCAGTGTCCCTCCCCGTGCCCAGTGTCCCTCCCCTGTGCCCAGTGTCCCTCCCCTGTGCCCAGTGTCCCTCCCTTGTGCCCAGTGTCCCTCCCCTGTGCCCAGTGTCCCTCCCCGTGCCCAGTGTCCCTCCCCTGTGCCCAGTGTCCCTCTGCTGTGCCCAGTGTCCCTCTGCTGTGCCCAGTGTCCCTCCCCTGTGCCCAGCATCCCTCCCCCGTGCCCAGTGTCCCTCCCCCGTGCCCAGTGTCCCTCTGCTGTGCCCAGTGGCCCTCTGCTTGCTATCTTCACATTTGGAAACTTCAAGCTCCTTCTAGTTCTTCATAAAGTGTACAATAGGTTATATAGTGAGCATAGTTTCTTTTTTAAAATACTATTTGGGAGGTCAAGGCACATATATTAATATATATTCAATAAACATAATCCCATTATTCACACACACACACAGAACATGTATGGGACTTATTAGAGTGATTTCCAGGCTGTGGTCCAGCTGATCCAACAATGGTTGGCTACCAACAGAAAGTCCAAGAATCCAGTAGTTGTTCAGTCCTCGAGGCTGGACTCTTAGCTGGTCTTTGGTATACACTGGAATCCTTAAAAAAAGAAAGGCTCTAAATGCCAGTGAAGGAATGGACTTGCCAGTGATTGTGTGGGCAGGCAGGCAACCTTCTTCCATGTCCTTTGTATAGGCTGCCAGCAGAAGATGTGGCCCAGATTAAAGGCGGATCTTCCCACCTGAAAAGATCTGGGTTAAAAGTGGGTCTTCCCAACTTCAAATCACAGTTATACCCAGCCACTTGGGTTTTAGTTAATTCCAGATGTTGTCAAGTTGACCACCAAGATGCGTATAAGTGATTGCCTACACGTCTACACGTGTGTGTGTGTGCATGCAAACATGCACTGTGTTTGTGTTTGGTGCCCACAGAGACCAGAAGGAGAACTGGACCCTCTGGAACTAGTTACAGATAGTTGTGAACTGCCAGGTTGCTAGCTGCCCCGTTGGTGCTGGGAACTGAACCTGGGTCCTCTACAAGAGCAGTAAGTGCTCTTAACCCCTTGGCCATCCTTCCAGCCTATTGTTTGCTTTTTCCACTGTCAGTTTCTTACGCTTGCTTGCAGAGACAGTCTCTTCCCATTGGCTACACTTCAGGCTGTCACATACGGGTCTTTGTAGTGGTGGGAGGGACCCACGAGCTTATTAGATGGAAAACCCACTCCACCCTTACCTAGACTTGACTCTGAGCTGATGGTTTTCCTCCACATGCACAGGCATCAGCGAAGCCTCCCCCCCCCACACACACACACTGTTCTCAGGCCTGGCATTCCTGTCACATGTATTTTTAGTTAATGGTGCAGCTGTCACACATGTCTCCAAGTGTTGTTTATGTTCAATATTACTTCAGACTTACAGGATTTATAAGATACATGGTTAGATCTTGTGATTTACTGTGTTAATGTAATAGTAGCAGGTAGGTGTATGTGTGTGTGTGTGTGTGTGTGTGTGTGTGTGTGTGTGTGTGTGTGTATGTGTCCGTGTCCAAAATTTGATAGTCAGTAACTGGGTATTATTAATGCTGGTTTTCTTTGCACTTGAGAAGGAGCTTAGCCCCCCGCAGCCACACAGGCTCTGTGGGCAGCTGTCCATCCTGAACACTGCTGAGACTGTGTCTGTTTATTTGCTGCTGGGGCTGCAGCGTCAGGTGGACTGAGCGCAGCATTAATTAAATTCCTGGGTGTGGCAGCTTTGTCCAAGAGCTTCAGATCCCCTGAATGCTGCCTGCAGCCTCACTAGCCAATGTCAGTGCCACCTGAGGCTGGGCTGAGCCCTGCCTGCTGAGCGGTGCAATGCTGGGTCACCAGGCCAGCATGATTTCCTCTCTGTAAGCACTGTCCTTGAAAGGGCTCTGCTAGACCCACTGCTCTAGTGATCAAAGGGCCCCTTCCTCTGAGACTCTGGGGATGATTTTCTGTCCTTGCATTCCTGGCTTTGTAAAAATAAAAGCAGAATTCTTTGAAGCTGGACAAGAGCGGCAGCTCAGAGCCCCAAAGAACCAGCGTCAAGGCTAGCACACGTGAAGACACATTCCAAATGAAGGGACAGGGGGTGGCTGCAGGTGTGTACTAAGTTTCTAGAAAAATGTCAAAACAGCTCTAAAAGAAAAACAGCACATTAGGGCTGAGCCCTGACTGGGCAGCAGCCACTCCTAGCATGCCCCGCACCAGCCGCCCATGCCCACGTCCTTTGGCCCTGCTCTGCTGGCACGGCCTTTGTCTGTGTCTCTTTGTCTGCCACAAATTCCTCCACCCAGTGCCATGGGGATTAGGCCAGCCAGATTTCCAGCCAAGGTTTTTTTTTTTTTTTTTTTTTTTTTTTTTTGGAGTGATTTAGTCATATTCAGAAAAAAAGGTTTGCTTATTTTTTTTTTTTTTAATCGTAAAAGAGATGGTTGCTCTTTCCAGAAAATTTTCACAAACAAGGAATGGGCTAGAGAGATAGCTAAGCGGTTAGGAGCACTGCTCTTCCAGAGGACCTGAGTTCAAATCCCAGTACCCACATCAGGAGGCTCACAACCACCCATAACTCCAGCCTCATGAGATCCCATGCCTCTGGCCTCTGCAGGCACCCATGTTGACATGCACATGTATGTGTTTATACACACATACACATAATTAAAAATAAAATAGGCATTTAAAAAATAAATACAAATAAGAGAGGGGGGAGTACCCTTCAGTGGTGATCTCAACATGGACAGTTGTCCTTTGCCAAGTGACTCCTGAGGCCATGGTGGCTCTACCCATGGGAGAAACCTCAGATTTAATATATGATCAGCCAGGCCTTTGAAGGGCTGGGCCACTTCTACACACCCTTAACTCTGAGTCACATGAGCCCAGTAATGGGGAGTCCCCAACCCGTTTATATGAGTGAGGTTCTTTTTCTTTTCATGTTGGTGTTTTTTTTTTTTTAAAAAAGGTCTATTTATTTCTGTTTATGTGTGTCTGTGCCTTGTATATGCATGCAGTGCCTGTGGAGGCCAGAAGAGGGCGTCAGACACATCTGGAGCTGGAGTAATGGGTGGTTGTGAGCCACCATGGTGGTGCTGGGAACTGAACTCAGGTCTTCTTGCCAGAGCAGCCAGTGCTCTTAATGGCTGAGCCAATCCTCCAGTTCCCTGTTGACGGTGTTTCATTCTTGTTAGGTGTGGGGTTGTAGCTACTAAATACAGAACTTTGCCTTATTTCTTGGCATTGTATCCTCAGGGTTCCCTTCCCCAAGTCCCCGTTAAGGCTTGCTTTCTGTGGGTGGGTGTAGCATCTCAAGCGCAAGTATACCATACCCCCATGACACATGCAACCAAATCCCTCCGGATTGGCGGGGAGGCTGATTCTAGCTTCCTTTCAGTTTGCCACCTTATTTTTTTTTAACTAATTTTTCAGTTAGCATACAGAATAATAATACATTTCAGGATCCACAGAACTTATGACTTTTCATTCACGCGTAGCATTATTCTTTGCTTCCCTCCCCACTCTCCTTTCCATCCTCTCTATCCCCTCCCCAAACTGGTTCTGTTCTACATTCCAAACCATCTCCCTTCTGCTTCCATTATATGTGTGTAATGGATATATCTTGTGATATAACTAAACACAGAGTTTACATATGAGAGAGAGTATGTGATGTTTTAGATATTCTATCTTCTCCTTGCCCATCACCCTCTCTTGTTCCCCTCTCTTTAGACCCCTACTTCCTGCCCTATAGACACTGTCTACCCTCATGTCCTGCACACTCTGCCGTTGTAAATAGTAGCATGACGCAGCTCCACAGTAGGGTGTTTCTTTAGCAGGCCCACAGCCCTGTGTTCCATCCCCAGCCTTTGCCATAAAACAAAACAATTAGAAAATGGTGTGGAAAGGTGTTGAGTGTTAGAGCATACACCCATTCTGGGCTGCTTATTCCAGCAACCTTGGGCTCTGTGCAAGGCGTTCTGGGAGACTGGCCCAGACCCAATCCATCTACTTGGAATGTGGATGTAAATAACCTTAATCCCAAACAGGTTATAGTTGCTGTCAGCTGACGCCTACAACCAGCGTGCAAAGAGTTTTGTCCCGGCTTAATGGGATTTTAAGAACACTGGTTGAGAAAATCTGAGGTTAGGAGTAGCCTGGCTGAGGGGATTGGTGTGGGTGGGTGGCTTGTCCCACTAAGGGACAGGTGGGATTTATGAGACTAGCTGGGCCAGCTGCTTGCCTGTGTCTGTGAGGACCCCCAGCCACAGAGGGACACAGACAAGAATTGCTGGAGACACACGCTGGTGTGAAGTAGGGACAGTATAAGCTCACATGGCCATCTCCTTGCCACGATAATTTCAGGAGCGCCCTGGGTTTGTGTGGGTTCGGCTGATGCCAGAGGCAATGTTCTTTCAGTTGAGAGCTTGGACCCATTCGAATCAGCTTTCCTTGGGGTTTCACCTTCTCTGTCTGAGCTTTGAGAGTCTTTTGTGGAGGGCCTGAAGTGTAGATAGGAAGCACCTTGCTCCCAAGCTAGGCAGGGAGGCCTCGTGACAAGGGGATGCTGTCTGTACCACACAGGGGCTATGCCTGCTTTCTCCCTGTCCATTTCCAGCTCTGGGCACTTGGGATTGACAGCTGTGCCAAGTGGGGGGCATCAAGGGGGTACTGGTATTCGGTGCCTGCTGCTGCCTGGGTCTCCCCGTAGCTCTGACCTCATGTGATCCTTCCCAGTCTTCACAGGTGCCATGACGCAGCAGCCCCAGGAGGACTTTGACAGAAGTGTGGAGGATGCCCAGGAGTGGATGAAGGTGGTGCAGGAGCAGCTTCAGGTCAATGACAACACACAGGGACCCCGAGCAGCCTTGGAAGCACGGCTTCGAGAGACAGAGGTAGGCAATGGCCCGGCTTCGCTGGCGCTGTGGCTTTGGCCATCTCCCTCCTGCTCAGACCTGTCTTCAGATGTCCTGGTCATTTCGCTTAAAAAAGCATTCCGATAAGGTGGCTTGGGGCTGGGGCTGAGGCTGAGGTTATCGTCTTCCACAAAGGTCTATGAGTTGACCTGGCTGTTTGTCCACACTTCTGTCATAAGCTGCCCCTCCTTCCATGATGGGGGGGGGCGATCTGCACATCCAGGTGGGTCTCCCCACCCCGTTGGCTCAGGCTTGGCTCTGCCCAGTACTCACCCCTCAAATCCAAGGCTTCTGCTGGGTCTGGATCGGCCCATGTCTGCCCTCAGTGGAGAGTAAAACCACTGGGTGAATAGAGATGCCTCAGCTCTAAGTATGTCCTCCAGCTACCGCCGAGGATTAGAATTCAGTTCCCTGTCCTCTTGTCAGGAAGCCCAAAGCCACCTGTACCTCTAGCTAGAAAGGATCTGTTGTCTTCTGGTCTCCATACCCTCATACACACATTCCCTCACACAGACACATGTGCACATAACTAAGAATAAATTATTAGAAAGGTCGGAGGAGTCTGGCTCAGCAGTTAAGAGTACTTGCCATTCCTTCAGAGGACCCGTTCATTTCGCAGCACCCATGCTGGGCAGCTTATAACTGCCTGTAACTGCAGCTCCAGGGAATCAGACACTTCCCTTTGGCCTCTGTGGACACACACGTAGTACATATACACAGGCACATATGTGTTGACTTGGACAGAACCCTCACGGACACATCCAGAGTGTGCTTTGCCCATCTCCCAGGTGCCTCTCAATCCAGTCAAGTTGACCATTGCGGCTAACCATCAAGAGTCTCGTTAAACTGGGTGGTGGCGGCACATGCCTTTAATCCCAGCACTCGGGAGGCAGAGACAGGCACATTTCTGAGTTTGAGTCCAGCCTTGTTTACAGAGTGAGTTCCAGGACAGGCTCCGAAACTATGGAGAAACCCTGTCTCATTAAAAAAAAAAAAAAGTCTTGTGATGTTTTCCTCTGAAACTCTCTGAAGCTCCCATTATCTACCTAAGGAAAACTAAACTTCACCTCGCATTAGAAATCCTTCACGTCTAAGTCTCCCTTGTTGTTACCCATCCCGAGTCTATGTGCTCCTCCTCGGTTTCCTGTCACAAAGCCTTTCCCCATGCAGCTCCTCAGAATACCCATCAGCTTGGCACGGGTGAGCCTGGGAATGAAATACTGCCATGCTTTTCTGACCCCAATTGGCTTCCTTGCATCATCCTGCCCATCGCTGCCCATCAACACCACTGTCCTCCAGTGCCCTTCCTCAGCTGCCCGTCACGTGAAACCCTGCACCTGCTGGCAGGCTGGCAGGGTGTGAGTGAGGGCAGAGAGGGACATAGGAGGGCTGGTGTGTGTGTGTGTGTGTGTGTGTGTGTGTGCTTGTGTCTGTGTGCTAGTGTGAGCCTGTGAGTATGTCTGTGTGTGTTTGTGCATATGCATGTGTGCTTGTATGTGTATGTTTGTGTGTGTGCATGTGTGTGTGTGTGTGTGTGTGTGTGTGTGTGTGAGATTGGGCTCAGTCTTGGAAGTGGGAAGAGGACCACCTGCTTCCTGTGGGCTAGGACACTGGGGCACAGGCCATACTTGTGGTCACAGGGCCCCCAGATCCTCTCCCAAGTTCCTATGTCTCATTCTCGTCACTCTCTGGTTCCCAGTCTTCTGGGTCCTGCCCTCAGGTCCCATCCTCAGATTTCTCACCAGCTTCTAGGCCTCTTCCTTATCACAGGCGCTTTAGCTTTTGCCGGGGTCTGGCTTCCAGCGGCAGGGTGTGTACATCCCTTGCTATGTCTTACTCTTCCACTCGTCTCCAATTGTGGGCACCATTTCCATGCTTGGCAGAAATGCTGCCTCCTCCAAGAAGCCCCTTTGGATTTTCCAGTTCTTCTTTGAGCTCCCAGGTGGTTCTTTTTGCATCAAGGTCTGGGATTCTCTTGTCTGGTAATCCCAGGATGGGCCACACTTTCCAGTTCCAGCACCATGCCCAGCCTGTGGTCAGCTAGTGTTGGCTAGCTTGAGGGGAAGCCCCTGACTAAGTCTGTTTCTCTGCTTCCTCCTGTCCATGTAATCCGCACCCCATCCTTGTTACCCGCTGCTTTGAACCTGTGGACTGATGCTGCTGCTCCTGGCTTGCCAGGCTTCCCTGGGATCCCTGGTGAAGGCCCTTATGCTGAGCAAAAGCTGCAGAAGAGAAGCCCCATGCATGGCAGGGTGTGGAGGGACCGTTTCTTCCCCTCTGTCCGCTCCCCTTCTCTGCTGTAGCCTCAGCCTCTCCTGACCCAGGGGCACACACAGCAAATGGCTCTCCCTGCTTGGTGACAGTAGGGGCAAGCCTGTAGGTCTGGGGAAGGGAGGTCGCTTAGTGTTCTATCTCCTCTGGGACCTGACAGCTCCTTTGCCCTCAAAGGAGGGCATGTTTGGAAAGAACAGAGGGTCTGGGGTGCTTTCTTGTCTCTTCAAGTCCAGCCTAGTCTCCCATCAGGAGTCAGGTAGTCAAAGGCAAGATCACCAAGTAGGGCAATTAGCTTTAGGGAGGACAGCTTTGTCCTTATCACCTCCTGGGGTGGGGGGTGGGGGTGTTAGGAGCGTGGCCTGGGAGGCTGGATTTCACTTCTTCCCCCAGACCAAAGGGTCTCTGGGTTTGCAGAAGCTAGCAGAGTCCAGTAGGACTCACCTCCCTGGCTGCTGTGGTTTCTAACTAAAGGCCCTGGCTTCTGCAGGTCCTATAATTATTATTATTAGTCAGATCAAATATCTGTCTGGGTAAGATTCATCCCCAGTCATACTGCAGGCCCCTATTCCTGGTGGTAGGTGGCATCCGGTGGCATCCTGCATGCTGGATGCTCAGTCTAGAACACTCTGCAAGTGGCTCTTGTATCTTCCGTCTATCCTGGCCATGGAAGTATTGCTGTCTTCCTTATTGCTGTGGCTATCTTAGAACTCACTATGTAGACTAGGCTACACAGAGAAACTCTGTCTCAGAAAAAAAGATGTAGAACATCTGTGAGGAGGTGTACCCTGAGAGATGATGGGGTACAAGGCTGGTGAGGTGTCTCAGAAGGGTTAAGGGGCTTACCGTGTGTCTCAGTTTCATCCTGAGTCTGTGATAAAGACAGTAACCAAGAGTGGAGTGGAAAGGGATTATTTGGCTTATGCTTCCAGGTCATAATCCATCACTAAAGGAAGTTGAGGCTGGACCTCAAGGCAGGAGCTTGAAGGGAAAACCATGGAGGAACATTATGCTTTCTTTCTGTCTCTCTTTTGCCTCTCTCTCACCTGCTTAGGGATGGTGTTACTCAAATGGGTAATGAACAGTCAGGACAATTCCTTCACAGACATGGCTGCAGGCCAATCTGACCAGAATATCCCTTAATTGAGACCCCCCTCAGATGAGTCTAGATTTTGTCAAGTTGACTAGGGTACCTCAAAAGTCTGACTACATGAATTTGATTTCCAGGACCCACAATGGGAGAGAATAGACACTCCCAAAATTGTCCTCTGACCTTTACATATGTTCCGAGCATATATGCACCCACTCTCACCCACATCACTCACATACACACACACACACACACACACGTTAAAGAAAGAGACAGAGACAGGCCAGATTGGATGGATACAGGCAAGGCTCTGGGGTGTCCTTGAGTGAGTCACCCATCAGGAATGGACTGTAGAATTCCTCTCACCAGTGGGAGCAGGGCCTTGGAGCAAAGGGCAAAGCAGTGTGGTAGACTCCTTTAGAGCATTGGCTAGTGGGGACCACAATAGCATCTCACAGCAGGCTTGAGGGTGTCACCTCCTGACCACACACACACGGTGATGCACACTGCCTGCCCTTGTTTCCTTCTGAGTTAAAAGTCTGAGAGTTGATCTGGTCATACCGAGGTACAGGGTGCAGAAGGTACATCCTGGGAGAGCAAGAACTCTGTCTGAATTGGAAGCTGGATGCAGCTGGTGATCAAGGACAGGGCTAACCTCCCGAGCTCCCTCTCCCTTCTCAAAGCCCTTAGCAGTTTGCTCAGGGGTACATCAGAGGAGCCATAAGCTGGGATGCAGCATCTCTACCCTAGACATCACAGCTCTTGGCGCTGGACCGTCACCTGTGCCTGGTGGTGTTGTGTCCGGCCCCGGGAAACCGGCTGTTGTATCCACAGAAAATCTGCCAGCTGGAGCCTGAGGGACGCGTGAAAGTGGAACTGGCCCTTCGGGCAGCTGAGGCCCTTCTGGCAACCTGCCAGGAGGGCCAGAAGCCTGAGATCCTGGCCCGGCTGAGGGATATCAAGTCCCAGTGGGAGGAAACGGTCACCTACATGACTCACTGCCACAGGTGAGGATGGTGCTCAGATGCTGGTGACCCTCCTTGCCCACCATGGGACCCCTGTCTGAGCGACACTTCTTCAGGCTTAGGGGTCCTGGGGCCAGCATGTCTGTCCTCTTTGGATTCAGCCCTCTTTCTGATAACACACAACCATGTGGTGATGAGGGGTGGACACTGGAAACTTGATTCGTTGCACCAGCAGTCCTAATGGGCTTGTGTATGAACAGCAGACGTAGGAAGGCCTGGCCCTGACTAGGGAGATGGCTCAGTGGGTAAAGTGCTCACTGTGCAAGTATGAGGACCTGAGTTCAAATCCCCAGAGCTCATTTAATCTGAACGTGGTAGTGCATGACCGGACAGAGCTGCCTGCCTTCCAAACCCTTCTCTCTGACATTACAAATATCTTGATGCTGACTGCAGAGACAGGGCCATCTCCACAGTAGAGAGGCAGCTACTGAGGCTGATGAAGGGGCAGATGCTTCCCTGAGAATCCACACAGGCCCGCAGTCCTCTAACCATACCCGGTGGTCACTAAAACTCAGGTAGTTTTATTCTGCCTAACATCAGTCACGGTCCTGAGGCAATCTCCTAATTGTTTTCAGGCAGCATATGCTAAGGGCCTGGGGCCACTGTGGGCAGAGTGAGGATTTATCTACTGGCAGTGGCAGTTCAGAGCCAGAATCTGGGGTGCTGGTAGCTCAGGGATATCCAAGCTTCATCTCCCCAGTGGGAGGCTGAGGGTCCATACAGAATCTGAACTTGGCCTCATCTGGGATATTACTTACAGAATGCAAGGTCTCATAGGAAAGGAGAGCCTAGAACCTGCAGAATGACTCAGTGCAGAGAAGGCATCTTCTTGTCCCCATAGCACAACCCCTAGTATGTGGGAGGGGGCAGCGACGGGGTCTCTATACCCAGGACCCAGGGGCAGGTGCCTCAGCCCCACCTTCTCTCCCACAGTCGCATCGAGTGGGTGTGGCTGCACTGGAGTGAGTATCTGCTGGCCCGGGATGAGTTTTACCGCTGGTTCCAGAAGATGGTGGTCACACTGGAGCCCCCTGTGGAGCTGCAGCTGGGCCTGAAGGAGAAGCAGTGGCATCTGAGCCACGCCCAGGTATTGCTGCACAATGTGGACAATCAGGCTGTGCTCCTGGATAGGCTGCTGGAGGAGGCAGGCTCCCTGTTCAACAGGATCGGGGACCCCAGCGTGGATGAAGATGCCCAGAGGAAGATGAAGGCTGAGTACGATGCTGTGAAGGCCAGAGCCCAGGTAAGTGGTACATGGTTCCTCATCCATCCACCCGTCTCCTGCTCACTCATAGTCAACCCATCTCCCCATTCTCCCATTAGCCACCCACCATGAGTCTATCTACCCACCCACTTCCCGCTCAGCCTCCGGGCCTCTCTGTTCCCTTCCCCAGTGTGTTAGCAAGCCTCCCTTTCTCTCCTTACCACCCTCCCCATCCATCAGTCTACATACTCTCCTATCTCTCCTATCCATCCAGTCACGCCCTCATCCGTCTACCGCTCCCTAACTATTTGTCTCTTCAACCACATAGCCATCTTCCTCACCCATCACCCATGTAGTAATAGTATCCATCTATTTCCCTGCGTACCACCTACCTGTCCGCTATCCATCTTCACCCACTTGCTCATCCATCCAGCACTTGGTTACCCACCCACCAATCTTGTACTCCCATTGTTCATATGCCCAGAAGCAGCATCCTGGTATGACACACAGAATTGTTTATGAGACCCCTCCACACACACACACACATGAATGCTCCTGGGGACATGTGGCTCCCTGGCCGGGTCAGGATGGATTGGACAAGGTAGTATATCAGTTTGACTTGGCTCTTGTAACTAGTTGCTCTCTTCTGGACTACCCCGTCCCATCATGTGACCAAGCACAAGAGGGATTGTCTCTCCAGGTCTGCTCCTCCAGGCCTGGCTAGGAAAGGTGCCTGGCTGTCCCCTGTGACTTAACAGACACAGGTGCTCTGTCAGGCAGCAGAGCCCTGGGTATAGGGAGCAGAGGATAGGAAGCGTGAGTTGTGTGTGTGTGTGTGTGTGTGTGTGTGTGTGTGTGTGTGTGTGTGTGTACTCTTGTAAGCTGGAAGAGGGTGCTGGATCTCATGAAGCTGAAATTGCAGGCACTTGTGAGCTGCCTAACATGGGTGGTGGGAACCGAACTTCGATCTTGTGTAAGAGCAGCAAGCGCTCTCAACTATACTGAGCTGCCTCTCCAGCCTTCTCTCCTACTCTGTGCATCCTGGCTGTCATGTTTGGCAGCAAGGGGACAGTTACCTGCTGAGTCATCTCGACACCCCCAGTCTGTGTTTATGAGTGTCCAACCTGTGAGGCAGTGATCCCTAGTATGGGTGGGGACAGGGCCACCCCCTTTGACTTTGGGGAGCACCCATAAGAAGTAGAGGCGAGCAACAATATCAAAAGGGAAGTGCAGGCAAGCCAGCTTGTGCCAGAAGTGTCTTCCTTGCTTGATTTGAAACCCTTGCTTCCGACTAGCAAACAGCAATGTCCTCCTCCGCTTTGCTTCCGACTAGCAAACAGCAATGTCCTCCTCCGCCGCCTCTAAGGAGGGCTGCCTGGCATCAGGCCATGGGTCCTAGACCTTCTACAGCCCTTTGTTGGGGACATAAATCCAAGCCACCCTGTTAATTGCTTGGGGTTTGACATTGCTGATAACTCTGCTTGCTGCAGATGGATTAATTGTTTGGTTTAATGAGAAGGCAGAGCCCTCAGCCACTCCTTGCCCTGTCACCCTCCCACTGGCTGAGCTGGCTTTGAAATGGCTGTGCCTGGCGCTCAGCCAGTCTGGATTCCTGCCTGGCCGCCACTCCATTGCCGGCACCTGCTCCTCATCACACAGACTTTTATTTACTCTGGACTTTCCTGGGTGCCAGCACCTCATCATCCACTCAGGCAGTGCTACCCACCACGCTGGGGGCGGAGCCCTTCCCACCCTCATCCATCACAGTCAGCCTTAGGCTCTGAGGTTCCTCGTAACCCACTGTGACTCACCCGTGAGCCTTCCTTTCCCGGGATTGGAGGAGCTGTGTGTGCAAACCACACCGCAGGAAGTGGGGACGGACTGTTGAGGAGCTGGAGAGGCTCCGTCCATCAACTTTCTGAAGGTCGAGGTCTGATCTCCGAAAGCAGTGGTCCCTGACAAGCCTCTGCTTTGGGATGCAGGTGGTCCTTATCTTGAGCTTCTCAGCTGTCTTCTATGTAACCTGGTCCCAAGCTTTGGCGACCCCATCTCTAAAATGGGGAGATTTTCTTCTGCTCGCTGTGGTGGTTGCAGAGGTTTAGTGCGTTATTATTGAGTAATTTTGGTGATCAGTGTCTCAAAGGAGGGGAACCATATACAGACTGCTGGGGGAAGGTCTTCAGATCCACCTGCCGCTCTCCTCAGTGGAGGGCTTGTGGCTCAGCTTCCCACAGGCTCCAGGCCTTCCTAGACACGACCTGCTCCACAGCAAGGAGCTAGGGTCATCGACCTTTGACTGCTACACTATCTGGCTTCATGTATGGCTGCTTGGCATTGGGCTAAGGATAGTTTTTAAGGTGTTTAAACGAGCAGGGCAAATTTCAAAGCTATTTCATGACATGCAGAAGGGACGCGGAGTTCAAGTTCTAGGGTTCATAATAAAAGGTTTCATAAGATCAGGGCTGTTCTTTTCCCTGCAGTCTGGCTGCTTATGTGGCACAATGTGAGTAGCTCCCGAGTGAGTAATGGCAGTAGGCAGAAGAAGCCACATGGAAGATGAATCCAGAAGCATTTGGCTTGATAGAAACAGCCTGGGGTCCTCCCAGCCTGAGAATCCCCCCTTATCTCTATGTGGGGTTGGAGAGCTCAGTGCCATGGTTGCTGTCTGGCTTTCAACTTGGGCCGTGGGAGTCCTAGTGTGCACCTTTTCAGGAGGGTGACCCTACTTAATGCCCATTGTTCTATGATCAATGGGTGTTAAATAGGTAATGGCTTATGGCCCAGCCACACAAGGTGTACAGTGAATGAGTTCCCAGATGCTTTCCTTGACTTTCTGTGCAAACTCCCTCCATCCTACTTTGCTCCTCTAGTGCTGTGACAGAAACTCTGACTAAGAGTGATTCCTAGGGAAGGAGAGTGTTCATTGGCTTACTCTTCCGGGTCAGTGTCCATCACTGAGGGAGGTCAGGACAGGAACTGAAGTAGAACCCACAGAAGGATGCGGCTATTGATTTGCTTTATGGCTTCCTCTCTAGGTCGTGCTCAGCTACCTTTCTTATACAGCCCAGACCCCCCCCCATCTCTGGCTGTCCTAGCTGGGTGACCATGGCCATGTTACCTCACTCTCTGGGCCTCGATGTCCTTGTCAGTCAAATTGAGATGAAAATGAGAGCCCCTTATGGATGGGCAGGGGAGTTTACAGGCTTTGCATGGAACATTCTTAGTACTGCCACAGTAGGGTGAGGGTGAGGGCGAGGACAATGGCTCAGGGGGACAGTGTTCTGTGGTCGTTATTGTGGTTGGTGTTACTCCCGTACCCTAGTCAAGTGGCATTCCTCAGACATAGCGGGAAAGAATGACAGCTGTGGGGTTGGCCAGGGCACATGTCTGGTTCTGATCCCAGCATCCCTGATGCACATACCCACACATCCCTACAGATGCCACCCTACTCCCTGCCAAGCCAGGCATTATTCTCTGACCTTAAAGGACCCAAGCCATAGGCAGTAGACTCCTCGCCAGGCCCGGGACCCTCATGGCAGGTGATTCCTCTTGCAGCATAGGGTGGCTCTCCTGACCCAGGTGGCCCAGGAGCATGAGCAGTACCGGGAGGATGTGAACGAGTTCCAGCTGTGGCTGAAGGCGGTGGTGGAGAAAGTGCATGGCTGCCTGGGACGGAACTGCAGGTTGACTACGGAGCTTCGCCTCTCTGCACTGCAGGTACATCACTGTGACCCAGTTAGGACATTGTGTCCCAGCTAGGGTGTCTTGTGGCCTAGCTGAGGGAGACCCTACGTGTTGCAAATGGGGATAATATGAGTTTACACACCAGACACAGACACCCACAGCATAGTCTTCTGGGAAGAGAGTCCGGATCCATCACAAAACATTTGGGGTGGTGACTGACAGATGGGACAGTTGGACCTATAGGATTCTAGAAGCCTGGTCTGGACCCATGGGTCTCGGTGCGGGGTACACGGCAAGTCAGCTGCCATTTTTATGCATTGCAAGTCTGAGTGGTTGCTGCCCCTGGCTCCCAGAGGGTGGAGGTCAGGGATGCAGCTTCACACCCTACAGTGGCAGGGCAGCACCAGAGTGGAGAATGGTCCCACTCAGATGCCAATCATGCTAGGATGAAGAGCTTTGGGTGGGCACCATGCTGTGGCCAGGGGAAGTGGGCCCATGCCACCTTTCACACTGCATGGCCTCGGGGGCCCTCTAGACCCTGCATCTAGTGAGTATATGTATCCAAGGGTTTTGGCACCAGATGTATGCAAAAGAGGTGCAGTGTTTAAAAAAAAAAAAAAAACCTGCCGAATTTGACTATTCTGTGGTATGATTAAGGGGAAGGTTTTTATGGAGAGATGGAAAACAGTAAGAGCCGTCTGGTAGAGTCCAGGACAGAGAGAAAGAAGTAGACTGAACACGGCCAGCAGACTGGGCATGGCTAGGGCTGTCCAGAAAGGGTGGAAGAGTAGGCATAGAGGCTAGAGAGCGCATAGTGAGACTAGCGGGAGCTGAGTATGGTGTGGGCAGCCCGGCTGAGTAAGAAGCCTATGGCCCAGGCTGAGCTCGTTCCTGGATGTTTGCACTGCCGGTTGGAGTCCGGGGAATTGGGGTTCCCTTTGGGCCAGACAGCAAGCTGTCTTCATCAGTCCAAGAGCCACTTCTCAGCTTCCCCTACACTGTGTGCTGGGCTTGTTAATTTATCTCTAAGTCAACTGGCCTTTGAAGAAGCTGGTGAACATTATTTAGAAAGAAAACTTAAGAGTCAGGCGGATGTGCGCAGGGGTTAGCCCAACGCTTGGGGATTGAAACTTTGATGCCAGTCTGGGAAAGACAACTATAAATATGTATGCATGTCAACAATCAGATCCTGAAACAAAACAAAAAAAAAAAAAAAAAAAAAAAAGGAGAGAAGAAAACTTGAGTCATTGTTGTAAAGGGCAAAGCCAGTACCGTTCATAATTAATATAGAAACATAAAAACCGAGCATGGAGTTGGGCAGTGGTAGCACATGCCTTTAAGCCCAACACTCAGGAGACAGAGGCAGGTGGATCTCTGTGAATTCAAGACTAGCTTGTTCTACAGAGTGAGTTCCAGGACAGCCAGGGCTATACAGAGAAACTCTGTCTCGAAAAATCAAAACCAAAGCCAAAATCAACCAACCAACCAAACAAGCAAACAAAAAAGCAGGTGTGGTTACATCTACCTGTAATCCCAGCACTTGGGACTCCAAGAATCAGAAGTTTAAAGCCATTCTTAGCTATTTATCGAGGCCAACCTGCCTATGTCAGCCACATTCTCCATACATCTATACAGAAACGGTGATATAGATAGACATACATCTAAACTCTAACTAGGTATTAGCATACACACACACACAGTGAGGCTCAGTGCTGATTCTTTGGGACCCCACGGCATGTCTTGCTGATGGCTTTAAGTTGATTTGTTTTAAACATTAGCAAATGTCAGACAGTGCTGAAGACAAACACACCCAACAGAGAGACTCAATGGCTTAGAAGAAACAGAAGGGAACAGTTCCCTCCTACAAGTCCACAGTACCTAGGGCAGACCGTCCACTCTTGACATGACCCCCAGGTTTCCTTTGAGAGCACAGCTAACCCTTGTTTTCCTACGGTCTCCCCTTTAATCACCCCGGACAGGACATCGCCAAGGATTTCCCTAGGGGCGAGGAATCTTTGAGCAGGTTGGAGGAGCAGGCTGAGGGTGTCATTCGGAACACCTCTCCCTTGGGTGCAGAGAAGATCTCGGGGGAGCTGGAGGAGATGCGGGGGGTCCTGGAGAAGCTGAGAGTCTTCTGGAAGGAGGAGGAAGAGCGGTTGCAGGGCCTGCTCCAGTCCAAGGGGGCCTGTGAGCAGCAGATCCTACGGCTGGAGGCGGAGCTGGGAGAGTTCAAGAAAAGCCTCCAGAGACTGGGCCACGAGAGCTTGGAGCCTGTGGTGAAGACAGCCACAGAGGATGAGCTGGTGGCCCACTGGAGGCTGTTCTCGGTAAGCACACTGGGCAGGGGGTGGGGTGGGGGGACATTGGGCCTCAGGTTGCCACTTGGAGTTACTCTGTGACAGAGTCATAATCCATCTTACCCCTGCTCTCTGATTCTTTGGCATCTGAGCTCCCTGAAAGGGTCATTGAGAATGCAGAAGAAGAAATATTTTTCCCCCTTGCAAATCCCTAAAGGCACACAGTAAGTTGGTGACTAATTAAGACGCAAGGAACATAGGCCATCCAGACATGGGCTTAGAAGCCCTTTCCTTACTTAGCATTGGGATAAGGGATGGGTGGTCTGGCTAGGAGCAATGAGATTAGAGGTGGAGGGAAGCTCATGGCAGAGATGATGAGAGGCAAACACAGGGCAGGGTCTAGGGAGGCGGAGCAAGGATATCCATTTGGGGAAGCCAGTGCCGGCTTCTACCCACTCAGGAAGTCTCATTCGCCTTCATGTTACTGTAACAAAAACATCGAGGCAACCAACTTACGAGGAACAAAGGTTTGTTGTGGCACATGTCCCAGAGGTGTCGTTAGAGATCTGGGGGCTGCATTTATCTGGGCCTCTGGCAGGGCCAGCACGCCACGGTGAGAATCTATGGCGGAGTAAACTATTCACCTCTTAAGTCAGGAAGTAGAGTCAATCAAGAAGACAAGACAAGCAGGCCCTTGTGGAACCCTTCAAGGGCCCACCTCCCAAGACCTAAGAGCCACCCCCCTGTGCCCCTCCTCCTAAAAGCTCACAGCCCACTGCCAGCACTGTTCAAACCATGGCAGGAGGTGTGACTTGCAGCCTGGTATGAGATAAAGATTCCCAACACTCTCCAACCCCTTACTTTGTTGCTAACATCATGATTTGGCCCAAGGAAATATCTGAAGCTGGTGCTGAGGCTCAGCGGTAAAACTTACCTAGCTTGTACAAGACTCCGGGTTCCTTCCCAAGCCCCTCAAGTGGGCAGGCATTAAAGGAAACATCTTAAAAAAATAAAAGTCGCCAGCTCTCTCTTCTGCCTCACCATAGTACTAAGGAGTTCTCCTCCATCTTTACACACTTGGGAACTTTTTCATCCAGTCTCCCAGCAGCCCAGGCTCACTGCATCTTCCCACGAAGGGGCCCGTGCATCTTCAAGGGCCACCTGCTTCAGTCTGAGCTGGGAGCATGGTGCAGGGGTTGAGAGTGGGGGTTGTGGGACCAGACTGAACAGGACCAGGAAGGGTCCCCTCTCCTGGCAGCTTTGGAAGAATGGTTTTAACTTCAGATGTGTGTGAGTTGGGAATAGTAGCAGGAGGGCCACGGAAAGCGCTTAGCACCTAAAAATGTTGGTACTGGCTTTTTAGCATGACTCCAGTGTGCTAATCCATGTTCCATGTTCCCTAAGTCCCTTCTGTTGGAGCTTTGTGCTTTATAGTCAGTTCTCCTTTTCATTAGTGCTAGGGATTGAACCCGTGTGTGTGTGTGGGGGGGGCGCATCTACAGTTTAAGATATCCCTGAACCAGAGGGCAAGGCTGTATCCAATGGGAGCAACTCCAGTAGAATGAAGCTAGATGTCACAGTGTCACTGTGGGGAAGATGACACCATGTGTAACCAGGCTGCTTCAGGGAGGGATCAGGGGCTGAGCCTAAGGGTAAGATCCCCCAGTCCATGCTCTTGGTGACAAGGTCCTCTAGCTGGCCAGTCATTCCCCAGCTTCTACTCAGCCCTGGCCAGTCATTTCCCCTAAGGAGCCTCACCAGCATCTGGTTGTCATGTCTTGCAGGGGACATTGGCTGCACTGGCTTCAGAGGAGCCCCGTGTAGACCGGCTACAAACTCAACTGAAGGAACTTATCACCTTCCCCGACCTACAATCACTCTCTGATAGTGTGGTGGCTGCCATTCAGGAATATCAAAGGTACCCAGGAAGGTTGAGGGTAGGCAGGACTAAGAGTGGGTGGGACTCAGGAAGCTCAGGCTTCCTATGTGTGGAGGATGGAGGGCAAGTCTCTACTCAGCGGAGACTCTGCCCTCTCCTCATTTTTGCATGCGACTCCCAGCAAGAGGCATGTGAGCTTTGTTTTTCAAGGTTCAGAGGCTCATTTGCCTGGGTCTTGAGTGGCTGAGCATTGGGAGGGTTTTGCTTGCAGTGTCATTAGGGAGGCTATCATGGATAAATAAGGATCAGGAAAAACAGATAGGCTGATAGATGTGTATTCAGGGAGAAATCACTTACAACAGAGACAGATGTCCATGAGCAGGTTCCTGTCCCATGTCCCAAGGATGCCTCTGGATGCTATCTGTCTCCCACCACGTCCACACCTGTCCCCACCCCCAATGGGCGTGGTCAGTGCAACAGGTGCGGGTGGGGTGAATATCTCACTACAGGAGGGCTGCTATGTTAGGGAACACCCCTCCTCTGCCTCTGACGGTGCTGAGACTTAAGTATCAGAGCATATCTTCAGCACTGCCTCTGACTACCTCTCTGCAGGCGGGCTCAGCAAAGAGTAGAGCAATAGCCTCCCTCTGCAGAAGCGAGCACTGCACATTCAGGGTGCCGAGGAAGCACCCTAAAAACAGCTCAGCCATCCCAGTAGCAGCCCTATAGTACATCTTATACCCTGTCTGGTTATGAGGGGTTCCTTTAGAGTGGACGCAGGAGCTTCATCTGGCTGTGTCTCTCACCCACGGCTGTTCCTAGGCTCCACATCTGTAAAATTGGGATAGTGCCTAGATGCTCCTGGACGCTGAAGTGGAGCGAGGCTGGGACCAGGACTTGCTACACACAGAACAGGCAAAGGCACAATAGTTATGAGTCTCCTCTCCCTCAGCTTGGTCTGCCCATTTATCAGGATCCCAGCCTCTGTATCTGGTGTTGGGTCTTGTATGTGGAAACTTACTGATGGGGAAGTAGCTGGGTCTGGCCTGATATCTTAACCAGGGTTGAGTTTGGATTGACCGTGCAAAACCAGGTTAGGGCTCCATAGTTTACCTCCAAGGCTTTTGGTTTCCTGCCTTGAAGCTGGGCTAGCTCTGTGTGAAGACAGCTCTGTAGCAGTGCCCCTTCATCCAGAGAGCCCAGCTTTCAAGTGTCCTCCCTCTGGGAGCTGTCACAGGCTAGCTCATTCTGCAGTGCTTTCTTCCAGGTGGACAAATGCTCTCAGGATCAAAGTAGCTCTGGGTCCCAGACCCACATTTTCATCATTTATTTCTTTTAAAACTTGGATTAAGTGGGCAGGGCAGCCTCCTAGCTTTCTGTTACTAGAAGCCTCCAGTGTTACAAATGTTCGTGGGAGCCGTGTGAAGGGCATGGGGACTGTGAGTGTTCCAGCGTGTGAAGGGCATGGGGACTGTGAGTGTTCCAGGGAGCCGTGTGAAGGGCATGGGGACTGTGAGTGTTCCAGGGAGCTGTGTGAAGAGCATGGGGACTGTGAGTGTTCCAGCGTGTGAAGGGCATGGGGACTGTGAGTGTTCCAGGGAGCCGTGTGAAGGGCATGGGGACTGTGAGTGTTCCAGGGAGCCGTGTGAAAGGCATGGGGACTGTGAGTGTTCTAGGGAGCCGTGTGAAGGGCATGGGGACTGTGAGTGTTCCAGCGTGTGAAGGGCATGGGGACTGTGAGTGTTCCAGCGTGTGAAGGGAATAGGGATTGTGCGTGTTTCTGAGCAGTGTGAAGGGCACTGTGCTACTCACTCTTCAGATGAGGAAACTGGGACTTGACAGTTAAGCCACGCAGGTCATAGCTGCTCTGCCTGACTCTAGACTCCCAGACTGCAGACCCAGAGGATACTCATGTATTGCATTTCCTTGAGCACCTCCAGGCCTGAGGAAGACCCCAGGCATGTGGTCAGTGCTGCTCTGTCTCAGCACTTACAAGTTCCCTCCCACTTCCTATGAGTGACACTTGCAGCAGCCCGAGTGTTGGGGGGGGGGCTTTCCCTGCCCCAGCAGCCTGGGCAGAGGCCTCGCCCTGGACTGATCTCACTCTCTGCCCTCGGGTCTCATCCTGTGCTGCTCTGCATGCAGTATGAAAGGAAAGAGCACCAGGCTCCACAATGCAACCACGGCAGAGCTGTGGCAGCGTTTGCAGCGGCCCCTCAATGACCTGCAGCTGTGGAAGGCCCTGGCCCAGAGGCTCCTGGATGTCACCACCAGCCTGCCGGACCTGCCCTCCATTCACACCTTCCTACCCCAGATTGAGGTAAGCAGCCTTTGTGGGGCTGGGGAGGTGCTGGCCCAGGGTGTGGCATCTCAGCTGCTCTCCCAGGGACAAGTACACACACCTGGGTCCTGGAGACACCTGGCTGCAGCTCACTGCTCTGTGTCAGCCAAGGACCCGGTGTACAGGAAGGGTCATCACTTGTTCTCAGGGACAAAAGTCATCCTTAGTCCTTGGGTAGAGCCAAAGCCCAGTGTGACTTTCACAGATCTTCTGGAAGCTACGTGGAATTTTGTCTCTCCCTTGGGGACCCCACCAGTGGTATGGTAGTAATGGTTCTGCAAGAGAGTATTGCCTTCATTGCATCTTCAGTGACAGCCTGCTTGGTGGGGACTTCAAACACAGAGGCCATCGCCAGTTTAATGACTCAACAGGGTCATCTGGAACGCAGGCTCTCCTAGCTCCAAGACATGTCTCTTTCTGGCCCCCACTTATGCCAAGTATGGAGCAGTATTTGTTATTGGTGGGAACTGCACAGGGCCCCCCCCCCAATCACCATTTTCACTGCCCACAAGGAGGAAAGATTCCTGTGAATCTTTCATCTCATTGGTTGGGCAGGTCATGTGACCACCCTTTAAACCAGGGCCTGGCTGAAGATGGTGAAATTGACATGACTGGCTGTACCAGTAACACTAACAATTTTGGGCCTTCGGTTGGGCATAAAACAAATGTTGGCTGTTTGGAGAGAGAGGGATGGTTACAGGGAAAGCATTTGGCAGCATCTGCTACGGAGTCCCTCTACACTGGGGCTTTGATTGGCTCATAAACCGTGCTTTGTGCTACCATTGGGCTCTCAGTCCATGAGATGCTCTCGTGTCCCGGGATTCTCAGACACACAGAGCAGAGAGAGGCATGAAAATGTGCTGGGTGCCAACTGACTTTTACATTAGTTTTGTTCTGATCATAAAAACATACCTACCCTGAAAGCATAAAGATTTCTGGAAAATTAAACTAAAAGTACCCACCATCCCACAAAGCACAGGCCATCATCAACATATAGGGACAGTTTTTTCCTCACTGCACTGGCCTACTGGGTGTCGCTGAGGAATTTTAACCCCACTTGCCCTGGAGAACACTGCTCAGCGTGCAGCTTGGAGCTTGCACATGTGTGAGCCCGAGACTGATGTTGGGAATCACTCAACTGCTCTTCACCTCATTCAAGCGCCTGGAGCCGCTGGTGTGGCTAGTCTCGCTAGCCGGCTTGCTTTAGGGACCTCTGCCTTCTTACGCTGAAATGACAGTTGGGCCACCACACCCATTTGAGTTTCTTGGGGTTCAAACTCAGGTCCTCAGGCTTGTTCAGCCAGCACCCCAATTGTTGACCGGTCTCTCCAACTTCAATCTCTCCCTAATTATTTATTTTATTTAGTTCTTTTAGTTTTTGTGACAGAGTCTCACTCTGTAGGCCTGGCTGGCCTAGAATTTACTTTGTAGACCAGGCTGGCCACGAACTCATGGAGATTCACTGCCTCTCCCCTCCAAATGCTGAGGTTAAAGATGTGTACTATCAAGCCCAGCTCCATAGTTATTGACAGTGGGACAGGGTCTTCCTCCCAAGGGTCTGACAGATACCTTCTCCCATGTGTAGGCACTGAAGGATGATGCTGCTCATCTTTTTTTAAAGTTGAAAAACAAATTTAAGTATGTGAATACCCATGTGTGGTTGTGTGCATGTGAGCACAGGTCCCCGAGGAGGCCAGGGCAACAGAGCTCCCTGGAATTAGATCTGAACAGATCCAGCCCTGAAGCTGGAGTTAGAGGCGGGTGCTGGGAATTGAACTCAGGTCCTCTGCAATGTTAGCATGCTCTCCTAACCACTATGCTATCTCTGCAGCTCTGGTGGTCATCTTTCTAAGTTTTTTATTTTATTATTTTTGTGCATATGGATGTTTTGCCTGTGAATGTCTATGCACAGAAGCCAGAAGAAAGCATCAGATCTCTGGGAAGGAGAATTACAGACACTTGTCAGACTTTGTATAGGTGCTGGGAATCGAGCACAGGTCCTGTGGCCAATACTCTTAGCGGCTGAGCCCTGTCTCCAGCCTCTGGTGGCCGTCTATTTTAGGTGATCCTCATGGCCATCTATGAAATGATCTCAAATGAAATTTGTGTGTACTACAAACCTCAATTTTCAGTCAGAACATCCTAAACCTGTTCTTTTATTTGATAAAAATCATCCCCACTTTCCATGTGATAGACAGGAAAATCTAATTAGTTTACAATTCTGTGTATTAAGAATCATATCATATAGCTGTGGACTTTAGAGACAGAAGCAGGAGAATTGCTGTGAGTTCAACACCAGCCTAGGCTGTACATATTGTAATCTGCAGGCCAGCCTGGGCTACAGAGTAAAACCTTATCTAAAAAAAAAAGTCTATTGTCTCTTATTCTCAAGGTCAGAAGTCTAAAAGCAAGGTGTTTTCAGGGTTTCAGGTCTGCTGGTGATGAACTATAGAACAATGGTTCTCAACCTGTAAGTCATGACCCCCACAGGGTCAGAGACCCTGCATAGCAGATACTTACATTATGATTCATAGCAGTAGCAAAGCTACGGTTATGAAGTAGCAACGAAAATAATTTTATGGTTGGGGTCACCACAACATCAGGAACTGTGTTAAAGGGTCGAAGCATTAGGGAGATTGAGAACCGCTGGCCTAGAGGCAAGGAGGATCAAGCTTGTGAGGTGTGGGGGGTCAGCTCTGGGGCGCCAACTTAGAAGCAACAGGCAGGCAGATGCCGTGGTCCAGGTGAGAGAGGTTGAGCGTGTGCCTTCGCTGCTGGTGGATGATGGAGGGGACAGGGTTTCCCAGGCAGAAGGGGATGAGTTGTTACTTGGCCTTTGGTAATGAGATGGGTAAGTCTGGGTAAAAGAAAACTATCATGGACCCTGAAATTCAGGGCCCCCTAGTGTATTCCTACCAGTGTGCTTCTACTGTGTCCCTTCCCCAGATACCTGCATGCAGAGTCACCACACCCACACAGCAGCGGTAGGAAACCGTGTGAGCTTGGGCCTATCTGGCTGTCTGAGGCTCGTGGGTACCTTGTCTCCCACAGGCGGCCCTAGCCGAAAGCTCCCGCCTGAAAGAGCAGCTGTCGATGCTGCAGCTGAAGACGGACTTGCTGGGTAGCATCTTCGGCCAGGAGAGAGCAGCCGCTCTCCTGGAGCAGGTGGCAAGTTCTGTGAGGGACAGAGATTTACTGCACAACAGCCTTTTGCAGAGGAAGAGCAAACTGCAGGTGAGCACCAGCCACTTCGTCCTGGAGCTCGGCCGGGGGTGGGAGCCACAGCCCTTCTCGGGATTAGGATTTCAGGTCCACCCCTGCCCAGTGGCTCTGGATATATGCCTTGGTTTCCCACAACCTCGGGATGTGTGTCTATACACAGGGCAGGGCTCTCAAGTGACCCCTCTAACGGGCTCCCTAGTCACCTGTCTGCCGCTGGTCACTCCCTGCCCTGTTCACACTATCAACTTCTGTAGAGCGGATGGACAAGCAAAGATGGGGTGGATGAGAAGGCTCACCTAGTGAAGGTGCTTGCTGCCCAGTCTCTACCCGATTTCAAAACTAACTCCTACAGTTGTCCTCTGACCTCCCCATGTTTATGTATGTGTGTGTGTGTGTGTTCATGTGTTCATGCACACACACATGCATACATAGATAAATTAAATGTAATAGAAAATGCAGATGCAAGTGCTTGCTAATTATAGCCCACGGTGATTCTAGGAATGAATATAGGTGGAGCTTTTCATCAGGACCGACGGCCAGCTCCCAAATAACCACACACACTTAATATTAATTATACATGCTTGGCCAATAGCTTAGGCTTATTACTCACTAGCTTTTACAATTTAAATGAACCCACATTTCTTATCTATGCTCTGCCACATGGTGGTCCCCTTTTTCAGCACGGCAAGTTCATCTTGCTTCTCCCTGCATCTCCCCAGGGTCTTTTTTCTGTCCGCATGTCCCACCTAACGTTTTCCTGCCTAGCTGTACATCCAGCTCTTTATTGACCAGTTAGAGCAATACATATTCACAGTGTACAAAAGGATTGTTCCGCAGTAAGCGAGTGTTATTAATGGCATGCTTCTGACTGCATTAAGTCAAAGCAATGGCCTGACACTCTGCAGACGGCCTGTTGTGGCTGCCAAATGTTTGCTGAGTGGCCAGTAATAACGACAATAATAGCCACGGTCTACAGGTGTTGGCTCTGGGCCAGGCACCTGCTAATCTTTGTCCAGCTGGCACTGTGGGGGAGGGAGGCGCCACCAGTTTCCCTGTTTTTCAGGTGAGGAGAGTCTGTCAGGTACCTCATGGTGGAGGCGGCAGGGTTCAGGCTGCGCCACCTGACTCCAAGCCAGCAATCTCACTTCATCAGCAGGATGAGGCAGGGTTGCATGAGCTGGGGCAGCCAGAAAGGAAGTGAGGTCTTCACTCTCAAACCGCCGAGGCTGCTGGTGGAGACAAGCACGCAGGGGCAGTTACAGGTGTCTGCAGCACGGTCTTAAGCAAAGGTCCAGAGCAGTGCGTCTCACCCTTCCTAACACTGTGACCTTTAGTACAGTTCCTCATGCTGGGGTGACCCCCGACCATAAAATTTTTGTTGCTACTTCACAACCATAACTCTGTTACTGTTATGAATCATAATATAAATCATCTTAGGTGATCCCTGTGAAAGGTTCATTTGACCCCAAAGAGGGTCTCCACCCAATGGTTGAGAAACTCTGGAATACAGGCTGCTGCTGCTGCTGCTGCTGCTGCAAGGGCCCCAGGCACTGGAGATGCTGGTGTCTGCCAGGCCGTTGGCCCAACTCTGCCTGTATAGCAGAGAATCAAACGGAAATGAGTAGGCAGGGCTGTATTCTAATAAAATCTCACTGATAAGCAAGCTTCTGGGGAGAGTTGGTGTATGGGGGAGGGCTGGTCTCGAGGCCCGTGGCTAATGTGTGGTAAGAGAACACTAGAGTGGCCCATCAGGCAGGACTTTCTGGAGGAGATGGATCTGGAGGGAGTATAGAGAGAGCCACCCAGCCCAGTGTCAGGTCTTACAAGGTGCTGTGAGAAAAATATTTCTATTTGCAGAGCCTGCTCGCCCAACACAAGGACTTCGGGGTGGCTTTTGACCCCCTCCACAGGAAGCTCCTAGACCTCCAAGCCAGGATCCAAGCAGAGAAAGGGCTTCAGAGGGACCTTCCTGGAAAGCAGGTCCAGCTCCTAAGGTTGCAGGTGAGGAGTGGCTCTGTGACCCAGCCATTGTTGCCTGTGCAGGAGCTCCCCCTTCTGGCAGCAAGCTGCAAAGCAGTCTCCAGCCAGAGCCCAAGGGCCTTAACTGCAGGCCTGACTGGGGCCTTACTCAGTTGGCAGCTCCTGGGCTGGGCTGTTAGACCCCCAAGCCTCGAGTCTCAAGTCTAACGGGGCGACAAGCAGTCCTTTTGTTTGCCCCTGGGTTCCGAAGTCTGAACAACAACACTCAGTTCGGTTTGGGACTCCAGCCAACAGGGTGGTGCCATCCACATTCAATGTGGGTTTTCTCTCTTCTGTTAATCCTACTTGGAAACACCCCATAGACACACCCAGAGGTCTCCTAGATGATCCAGATCCAGTCAAGTTAATGGGGACTAACTGTCGCATGAACTATTTTTGTTGAGTCCGGAGACTTTTAGTTGTGTAAACCAATTTTGCGATTAGGAAGATGTTTTGTATCATGTGTGGACCCTGTGCAGGCAGGTCACTGGTAATCGCTGGCCAGCTGAGGAGTGTCACTGGTTTTTATCATGTACACGACACAATGTTTATTGTTTCAAATCCAAACACGGTTCCTGTATAAGCCGACAGCACTCTCTGGAAAACATTAAGCCTGGTACATTTGAGGCTTTAACCCTGAAGTGGTTATGTATAATTCTTCATAACAGTCAATGGTCACCAAGTGAGAGCCCAGACATGAGTTTCTTTCCCAAGATGCTGTCTGGTCTTTCCTATGGTTTATTTTAATAGTACCCCAGGATATTTGTGTCTGAATTTTAAAGATTCATTTTGCCCTGAAAAGGAATCTGTTGGACCACCCATGCGGTACGGCCACTGATAGAGGGAGCATCTCCCACTCAGCCCCTACCCCACTGGGCCTCCAGCATGGAGGGACTTCTGGGATGGATGGAGGGGCTTCTGGGTGAAGGGTCAGGTAGTCAAGCTCACTTGCTCTTCTCTCCATCCCAGGGCCTACAGGAAGAGGGGCTCGATCTGGGGACACAGATAGAGGCTATGAGGCCTCTTGCCCAGGGGAACTCTAACCACCAGCACAAATTGGACCAGATTTCCTCTGACCATCAAGCCTTGAAGGGGTCCCTGGAGGTAGGAGCCAGGTCTTAGAATTCTGCAGTCCTGGTCCTTTCTCCTTCCATCCTCCATTCCTCCCGACCTCTCTTTCTTCTCATCGTCGTTTATGTAACTTCTGATTGTGGAGCAATATCTGTACGCGGGCTGTTGTTCTGGGCTCCCGTGTTCTGGGCACACACAGACAGACAGGGCCCTGCTTTCCTGGGGATTGGGTGGATGGGTTGTGAATCAACAAGTAAGTGAGCGATGCCAGGGTTTCACGTTGTGATGAGGCCACAGATGGAGAACAGAAAAGGCTGCCTTGCCCCATCTGCCTGTCGGGTACACAGTTCTTGTTTGTGTCCTGCAGCCCTGGTAGCCTCAGAGCCTTGTTTGCAGCGCCCTCTAGTGGCCTTCTGAGCACTTTCTGGTGCACAGGGTAGATTCTACCTCCTGCAGTAAGGTGTTCAGAACCCCAGATTTCTTGACAATTGACTGAGGCAAGTAGAGACACAGGCTCCAGGCTCCCTGCTCACCCTGATTCAGACACCCTGAAGCTAACAGGTGGACACACCACTCTCACAGACAATTTAGAAATGTCTGGAATAGAAAGAAATTTTTAAAAATTTATGTTTATGTGCATGATGTGAGGGTGAGTTTATGAGTTTGCCAGTTGTATCATGTCATAGCATCCTTTCCATCCTCTGGCTCTTACATCCTTTTTACCCCATCTTCCATGATGGTCCCTCATCCTTGTTGGAGGTGTATAGACAGGTCTAGGCATCTTGCAGAATTGGGGCATCATCCTCAGCAGCATTCAGATTTCCTGACCTTCCTGGCTGTACCACAGGACCTTGTGGATAGGTGTCAGCAGAGAGTACGGGAGCACTGCACCTTCAGCCACAGGCTGTCAGAGCTGCAGCAGTGGATCGCCATGGTCACACAGACATTGGAGTCACACCAAGTGGATGTGCATCTGTGGGATGCTGAGACCCAAGAGGCTGGACCTGAGGTAAGATGCTGGTTCATCCTCCTGCCCACACTTCCCTAAAGCATTCTGGGTGAGCTTCATACTGGGGTACAGACATCCCCCCAGACTAGTGCCTCACGTGTGTGTGTGTGTGTCCATCCATGTGTTCCACAGAGGCTGCTGGCTGAAATCCCAGAGAGAGAGGTCCAGCTGTCCCTGCTCCAAGCACTGGGCCAGCTTGTGATGAAGAAGTCTTCCCCAGAGGGGGCGGCCATGGTCCAGGAGGATCTGAGGAAGCTGGTGGAATCCTGGCAGGCCCTGAGGCTGCTAGAGGAGAATCTGCTGAGGTGAGGGCCTTGCTTGCTCCCCACTTTGTCTCAGAAAATGCCACCTCACTGCCTAGGGTCCTTAGAGCATATGACCGAGGAATGTGTGCCAGGTATGGAGCTGGGAACCTGGGGATATCCCCATCTTTGGTCCAGTTTGTGATTTTGAGGATTGGAGAACTCTTATTAGGGAGTTAGCCTGAGCTTATTCCTTTATTTACTGGTGCCTTGTTGGGATGGTAACGTGGTTTTAAAGTAAGAAATGGCATGACTGTACCTGGGAAGCCTTCTGATGGCCCCAAAAGGTGGCTGCTGAGTTCTTAACAGTATCAACTTGCTGAAGTGTCCTTGGTGCCCAGTACTACAGCTTCTCCTGGGACGTGACGGACACTCATCACATGGCTGCCTTGAGTAAGTGTATTTGTCTTCTCAGTCTCATCAGAAATCAACAGCTTCAGAGGACAGAGGTGGACACAGGGAAGAAACTGGTCTTCACCAACAACATCCCAAAGGCTGGCTTTCTCATTGACCCCCGAGACCCCATCCCCAGGCGGCGGCATGGGGTGAGTGTGTCTCATAGGCTTTGGGGAAAAAAGGTCAGATCCAATGTCAGCCGAGGAGGTGGGGGCCTCCAGCATAGCTCCTTCTCTACCCAGGACCATGTGCTTAGCCCATCGGATGTACTATTTTTTTTGTTACTTGCCCCTGAGGGGATCTCAGAAGCGATCAGTTGGTAGAGGGCCAAGATCTCAAAGGTCCCAGATCACATCAGAAGGTCAGGAATACCCCTGGGTGAGACTGGTCCTCATTTATCTGAACCCCTGCAGCAGCTAGTGTTTGGAGAGAACCGGAGTTAAAAGGTTTCTGCTGACCCAGTACCCTGATTCTGCAGGGCTAACAAGCTCCAGGCATATGGTCTGTGCTGCTGGGCTCTGGAACACAGAGTGAGGGACAAAGGAAGGAGGATCCAGGCATTTAAGCAGGCTTTTAAAAGGTGCGCCAGTTAGGCGGGATGCTACCCAGTTCTGGTGTGAGGAAGCCCTTCTCGGGATGATGAAATAGCAGTTGAAACCTCAAGACTGAGTGGGAGGGGGAGGGAGAGGCATTGTCTTAATTACTTTTCTACAGCCATGACAAAACACCATGATCAAGGTAAGGTAAAGAAAACATTTATTTGGGGCTTATAGTTCCAGAGGGTTAGAGTCCGTGACCGTCATGGAAGGGGCATGGCCGCAACAAGCAGACATGATGCTGGAGCAATAGTTGAGGGCTCACATCTTGATGAAGCAGAAAGAGCTAATGGATGGCCTGGCCTTTTGAAACCTCAAAGCCCGCCTCCAGTGATACGCCTTCTCCAACAAGGCCATGCTACTAATCCCAGGCTACCACCTGGGAGCCAGGCATTCAAATATATGAGCTTATAGGGATCATTATCGTTCAAACCACCACAAGCATGTTCTTAGTAGAGGGGTAGTATATACAGAGACCCAGAGGTAGGGAGGAGGAAAGAAGGAGGAGGGGTAGAGGAAGGAGGCAGCTCAACCTCCAGGAACTTGTAGAACTGGAACCCAGGCTTCTCTAGCCACAACAGGGAAGAGTGATATCGCGGTTAAATAAGGATCAGGATAAACAAATAGGCCGAATAGATGTTTATTCAGGGAGAAATAACTTACAACCTAGACAGATGAACACCAGGAAATTCAACCCGATCCTCTCCTGTCCGAGTCACGCCAGAAAGAGAGAGCCTTTCCTGGCCCCCTCCAACCTCCTTCCTCAGGTCACTCCGCCCATGGCTCCACCCCCCAATGGGCATGGTCAGTGCCACAGACGGACTATCTCACTACAATTCCCCTTTTAGTCTAAAGAAAAGATTTAGGCTTAATACAAAACTATATACAAAACAGTGAATAACAAGTGTGCTCTAAGAAAAGGAAAATTGAGAACAAAATGACCTACATATCTAGTCCTAGGGTGAGGGCATAATGGAGTTTACAATAGAGTTGTCCTAAGCTGGAAAACGTAAGTCTAGTGCCTAATATATCTAACTAGGAAGAGAGAATAATAGTTGTGATAGTTTAATCTTCAACCTCATCCAGACCTGAGAAGGAAATTAACAATACTAGAGTAGACAGGAAATGCGGATGGACAACTTCCAAAAGGTGCAGCAAGGACAGAAACAACAAGCCACCTGGACAGTCACCCTAGGTCTCATAGCAACGTTGGTACACCCAGATTTGGCTAAGGCCAAGAGAACTTGACAGACCATAACAACAGCAGGGAGGTAGAATGGCTGTCTTACCCTGACTTGGCAAGGTCAAGCAGTCTTCTATATTTGTCTCCTGCAAGCACATAGGACTGCATGTCCAAATCAGTGGTCAAGGTGGGGGCAATTCTTTGCCCAACAGGCCATTAGCTGAGGCGAGATTGAACTCCAGCAGGAGCAACAACAGTGTCCAACATATTTTCGGGAAAGTGCACGGTGCTGTCAGGAGCAACAGTGTCTCATGTCAATGGAGTACTAATATTAAAACATTTAAATGCCATGTTCTGCATGTCTATGAAGTGATTGAAGATTAAGCATCTATATCTGACTAATCTCATAGGTACAGGAAATGTGAGTGAAGATAATCTGTAATACTCGGGAACTTAGCTAAAAAGACTGATTAAAACTTCCCTGAGTAAAGCAGGAACAAATACTTAAACAATATAACTATTTACATATACATACATGTAAATCCCTAAAATAGAGGTAGAGTATAAGTGTCAAGACAAGAGGTAGAACTATAAAGGGCAGCAAGATAAATATCCCAAATTGTATCAATATACAAAATGTCTTGAATACAAGAAAAGTATACATACATAGAATATGGTAAAAAAAATAATGTGCATAAAACATTGTAAGTGGAAAGATTTAACACACTATAACAAAATATAAACTTAATTTTACATAGCTTACCACATAAGAATACACAACAATGTAAGCTGTAAAATACTATCTCATTCTTACTCAAATTCTCAAGAAAATAGGCTAATCTACCTATAGCCCATCTAAACCATACCTTTCCCAACCATTCCCTATTCCTGTCTAAAAGATAAACCCGAGTGTAAGCATCACCCAATCCCAAATAACTAAAACCAACCCAAAGACGATGACTATTATCCCAAAATTCCAAGGGTAGGGAAAAGGGGCGTAGTCATATTAAGATTACTTTTTGCTGAAATGGGACGATGATTGCTCCAATGGATCCTGTAGGAAGAAAATTTTTAGCAACCAAATTTCTCAACAGAACTGGCTGTGACATATGTAGCTAGTCACTGTGTGGCAGAAAATTATTGACTGTAGTTCTATTTGAAACTCTGGCCAGGGTATAATAAAAAGGTGCACCATTACAGCTAGCTAGTCATGAGTTGTCTCAAGCAAAACAGTCTCAAACCAGTTTTAGGGTGATGTTTGTAGTTCCAATGCATCAGGTTGAGTCAAGTGGAAACGATGATGTGGGGCCCCATCTTCTTTCTGGAGAGTTCAAAGACTGCTGTTAGGAATCGTTATTATTTTTTGTGGAAAAGTTACACATCAATATTAAAGTAAAATTTTCAAGTTTTAAGGTATGCATTAGGGAAAGACAACAATAAGCATTAAAAGTATGTGAGAAAATTAGGATTTCAGAGAGAAAATTGCATATAAGATATGAGTCCCCAGATTTTGTTTTATTCTGCCTTACACCAATTGGCTTTTTGATTTAAGGCAGAAACCATGAATTTAATCTTAACAACATGTTTGAATTTAGAGAAGGAAAGCCAAATCCAATGCTTGGGATAAGGTTCATGAATTAGGAGAGAGGATAGAACCCTATATCAAGATAAGACAAAGACCTAGAGAATGTTTTATTATCTTTCTAGAAAAATTATCTAGGACAGTACAATTAGAGATAGCAGACATAGATGCTAGGCGAATATTCATAGAATCTTTAGCTTATGCGAATACAAATCCTCAATGCAAACAGGTGCTTTGGCCTTTAAAAATGCAATCAGCACCCTTGGATAAATGGGTCCTATATACAGGCAATATTGAGTATAATGACAATAAGACTGAAGCATGGGTAGGAGAAGCCATATCTAAAGGTCAGAGAAGATATCAAGATAACAGAGTTCCTTACTATGGTGACTTAGAAGCTTGGGTAGGAGAAGCCATCCCAAAAGGTTTGAAGAGATATCCACATGTCAGATGTTATAACTGTGGTAAGATAGGACATCTAAAAAGAAATTGTAGGCAAAGCTTCCCTAGAAATAACACTCCCAGGAATGAATCAAACAGAAGGCCTCAGCCTCCTTGGTTATGTAAAAGGTGTGGCAAAGGCAGACACTGGACAAATGAGTGTAGATCGACCAGAGACAAGCAAGGAAACCCTTTACCATCAGAAAACTCCTTGGGGGGGCCTCTCGAAGGCCCCCACGTCACAGGTGGTTCGAACATTCCCAGTCACAGTGGAAGACAATCTCCCACAGGACAATTAGAAAATTTTGTGCCTATTATAAAAACTCATACTGCTCTGGATGACAAACTAGTGACGGAAGTTGAATCAAACATGACAGAAGAAAATAAAAAACGTATATTTTGGCAAACCGCTATAAATAGTCATAGGCCTAGATTGATAGTTAAGATAAATAATAGACTGAGGGTCTCCTGGACACAGGGGCTGATGTAACTATCATATCTAATAAATCTTGGCCTCAAAGATGGCCCTTGCATGAGGTAAATGTTCAATTCTTAGGGATTGGAACCTGTCTCAGGTAAAACAAAGCACGAGATGGATTAAATGTATAGGACCAGAAGGACAGAGAGGGAGGTTGAGACCATATGTGGCTGATGTAGTGATAAATGTATGGGGCCGTGATCTATTACAGCAATGAAATACACAGATTAACATTCCTCCAGTATTAGATAGGAACCATAGACGACCTCATGATTGTGGAAAGAATACTGTTAAGTACTATACAAGACAGATACCAAATATCCAGGCAGTACAAAAACAAAATACAAGTGCTAAACAAACAGAGGAACCAAAAGCCCTACCTTTAAAATGGCTAACAGAGGAACCTGTCTGGGTAGGACAATGGACTATGACCTCTGAGAAGTTAGAAGCTTTAGAAAGCCTGGTTCAGGAACAGCTAAATGCTGGACATATTGAGGAATCAACCAGCCCTTGGAATTCTGTATTTGTGATCAAAAAGAAATCTGGTAAATGGAGAATGCTTACAGACCTGAGAGCCATCAATAAAGTTATCCAGCCAATGGGCTCTCTACAGCCTGGAATGCCCTTGCCTTCTTTGATACCCAAAGAATGGCCTATTATTGATTTAAAGGATTACTTCTTCACTATACCTTTACAAGAACAAGACAAAAAAAAATTTGCCTTCACGGTACCTAATTATAATAATTCTCAACTGGTGAAGAGATATCAATGGAAGGTTTTACCACAGGAAATGCTAAATAGCCCCACCCTGTGCCAATATTTCGTACAAAAACCGTTAGAAATAATTCGTAAACAGTTTCCACAATCCATAATCTATCATTACATGGATGATATATTGTTAGCTAACTCTAAAGGAAAAATACTAGAAAAAATGTTTGAGAAAGTAAAGGAAGTTTTACCTCGCTGGGGATTACAAATTGCACCTGAAAAAATGCAAAAAGGAGAGTCTATCAACTACTTAGGATATAAAATAGGTCTACAAAAAATTAGACCACAAAAAGTACAGATCAAAAGAAATCGCTACCAGACTCTTAAGATCTTCAAAAATTACTAGGAGAGATTTCTCAAGTACAAACCATAATTGGAGTGCTTCAAAGCCCTTACAATTCTGTACAAAAGGCAGAATTGTATGCCATCCTCATGGTACTTATGGATTTTAAAGAACCCCTCAATATAGTTACTGACTCTCAATACACAGAGAGAGTCGTTTTATACATTGAGACTGCAGAATTTATTCCTGACAATACAGAATTAACTTCATTGTTTATACAGTTACAAGATACTATCAGAAAGAGGACTCATCCTATATATATAACACATCAGATCCCATACGGGTCTGCCAGGTCCTCTAGCACAAGGCACTGATAAAATTGATCGTTTATTGATAGGAAGTGTGCTAGAAGCCTCAGAGTTTCATAAGAAACACCACGTGAACAACAACGGTTTAAAAAAGGATTTTTCTATCACTTGGGAACAAGCCAAGGAAATAGTAAGGAAATGTCCTACTTGCTCATTCTATAACCAAACTCCTTTACCACCAGGCAGTAACCCTAAAGGTATAAATAGGAATGAAATATGGCAAATGGATGTGTTCCATTTTTCAAAATTTGGAAAATTAAAATATGTACATCACACTATAGATACATTTTCAGGGTTTCAATGGGCTACTGCTCTGAGCTCTGAAAAGGCTGATTCTGTTATAACACACCTATTAGAGGTAATGGCCATTATGGGCATACCTGCACAAATAAAAACTGACAATGCTCCAACATATGTCTCCAGCAAATTAAAACAGTTTTTTGAGTATTACAAGATAAAGCACATAACTGGTTACCACACAACCCTACAGGATAAGCAGTGGTTGAGAGATCCAATCATACTTTAAAAGGAAGAGGCAAATGTCCCAAAACTGTGGTGAGTCCACCTGGTTAAACCCTGCCCGTTGGGGAAGGTGGGGGAGGGGGAGGCTTTTGCCGCCTGGGTGAAACCGAGGTAAATCCCACTTCTGACACCAGATATTGTGGTTAAATAAGGATCAGGATAAACAAATAGGCCGAATAGATGTTTATTCAGGGAGAAATAACTTACAACCTAGACAGATGAACACCAGGAAATTCAACCCGATCCTCTCTTGTCCAAGTCACGCCAGAAAGAGAGCGCCTTTCCTGGCCCCCTCCGACCTCCTTCCACAGGTCACTCCACCCATGGCTCCACCCCCAATGGGCGTGGTCAGTGCCACAGACGGGCTATCTCACTACAGAGTGAGGCACCACCAAGAGATAGAGAAGGACTTAACTAGACTGGCTTTCATTTCACTCTGCCCATGTCTCTATAAGAATAGAGAAAAGATGACCACTGGTAGGCATCCTATCAAGGATGATGATCACTGGGTAGACATCTTGGTCAAGGATGATGACCACTGGTGACCACTGGGTAGGCATCCAATCAAGGATGATGTCCACTGACTGGATAGGCATCCTATTAAGCATGATGACCACTGGGTAGGCGTCCTGGTCAAGGATGATGATGACGTCTAGAGCTCCAGAGAGGTGATGGTAAGGAATGCTCTTGCCTCCTAAATGTGGATGAATAGAGGGCCCTTCATCATCCCTCTGAGCCCCTCCCATGTCCTCCAGGTCCCCTGTCCTTATCTTTACCATTATGCTTTGGTGTGATTCCCAGGAACCATGGCCAGCAGGCCCTTCTCATATCTAAACACATGCTTGCCTGCAGGCAAACCAATTGGAAGAACACGACCTCCGTGAAGATCACTCCCAGCTCTTGAGGGACTTTGAACAGTGGCTGCAGGCAGAAAACTCCAAGCTACTTGGAATCATCACAATGAGAATGGCCACAGCCAAGGACTTGAGGACCAGAGAGATGAAGCTGCAGGTCTGTTCCAAGGAAATGATCCTTAATGGTGTCCATGACACCAGAAGTCATACTTAATAGTTGTTTGTAAGCCATCCTGAGTCTGAGTAATGATTTTAACATCTTTTGTTTCTAAATTTTAGAGTTAACTTTTCCTTGCATGTGTCCATCCATGAATCCATTTGTCCATCTATGCATCCATGTACCCATGTAGGTATCCATCCATCAATTATCCATTGATGCATGCATGCATCCATCCTACCTTACTTTTCTCTATTTGAAAAATATCACCACTCACTTGATTCTGGTATTGGTTAGCTGCCACCGTGTCATAAACCTCCATGACAATGAGTTGCTTAAAACAATAGCTATTGTTTAACTCATGATTTTGACACTTGGTGATTTTTACTCAGCCTGGTCTCTGCCAGTTCTGGAGCCCAAGACACATCTTCTGGGCAACCTTATCTTTTGTCATTTGTGGAACAGCTAGGTGGCTCTGGTGGAAGGGTGGCTGGAAGTGGATAGAGACAAGCATGACATGTCTCATTCTCATGTGGGACAGCCCAGACAGCTCCAGGTGGCTCAGAGTGTAAGGAAGCATATGGGAACAGGCAAGACCCTTGGGTGCCTAGATTAGGAACTTGCATGGTAGTGTAATATGGATTCTTCTGTGTGATGCTGTAGAAAGTCAACAGGCCATCTCCCATTCAAAGGCAGAGAAAGGAGACTCCACCCCTTGGTGTAAAATCAAAGGTGTGGTAGACAGGGGAGAGGAAATCACATGCTGGTATCTGGTCTGCCACTACTCTCTCTGTGCTACCTTGTTAGCTGTCATCTTGTTAGTCTTGGTTTGTTTCCACTGCTATAACAAAATACTCCAAACTGAGTGACTTATAACTAACAAGAATTTCAGCACTCCAAAGTCAAGAAAGTCCAAGTACCAGAACCTAGCAAGGCTTCCTTGTTGTGTCCTATGCCAAAAGATGGAGGAGGCACAAAGAGGCAAAGTGATCTAAAAGAGACTTTTCCATGAAGGCATTAGTCCCACCCCCCCACCCCTGAGGGTCATTAATTCCACCCTCAAAGATCCCATCTCCCAACACTGTCAACATAGGTTTGGGAAGGGACAATCGTTCAGCCCACAGTAGTCACCAAAACCTTCTCAAGTCCACTTCCTGGATGTTTCTGTCCCCTCTGTATTTGCTGTTCACCTGACTATGGCAGCAGCTTCCTCCATGCTCTCCTTTCTGGTAGACTGTCACCCAGGTCATGGCTCCTTGTGCGGGCAGCCATGACTCAACAGAATCACTAATCTGACCTTGACCTCCCTCCCCCCATGAAAACATTTTAGTATGGAGTTCAAACCTAAGTCATTTCCCAAGACCTCCCTAATCAAGCCTACTCTACCTCTCCTTTCCCTCACTTATATGAAATCTCAGTGATATTTTAGGGAACAAATTTCTTCTTATTTATCCTGCTTGGCAATCATTTGAACTGCATTTGTGATATGGAGTCTGTATGGAAAATATCTGACAAGATCTCTTAAAATATCACCTTTGCCTTGATGCCTTTTTCTCATTTGTCACCAAAATCAACATTTTTTTTTCTTCCCACTGTATATTTTTGTCTCTTTTGTGTATTTTTCACCCTTGACTTGGAGTGTTGAATTCTGAATATTTTTTTCTGACTCAGCTTCCACTTGACTAATTCTATTTTTGGCTGTGTCTCATTTTCTAGTGTATATGTCTATTAAGATCTTAACTTTGGTTGCATAGCAATCAGTTTTAGAACTTCTAAGATTTATTTATTATGTACAGTGTTCTGCCTGCATGTATGCCTGCACACCAGAAGAGGGCACCAGATCTCATTACAGATGATTGTGAGCCACCATGTGGTTGCTGGAAACTGAACTCAGGACCTGTGGAAGAGCAACCAGTGCTCTTAACCTCAGAACCATCTCTCCAGACTCAGTTTTGGAACTTCTGTTTGGTTCTCTTTGGTCTGATTGGTTACATTCTCTGACTTCATCTTTGATGAAATGTTTAAGCTTGTCTTTTAATTCTTTGAACTTAACCCACCATAATTGTATTGTCTAACAATTCTGATATCTCTGGGCATTTAAGGATATTTTTGTCACATATTTCTGCTTCTCATTCTTGGTGTCATATATTGTCCTGTGGTTACTTTTTGTCCTGAGCAAAATCTACATAAAACTAACTTGGGACTCACGGTAATCTCTTCCTCCAGAGAGAATTTTATTTGTTATTTCCAAGTAGTGGGGGTGTTATGATTCTGGGGCCACCAAGCCCAAGTCTTGTAGTTCTTTGGACCACTAAGATGATCTGGAGCTGGGCTGTAAGTGCATCCAAGGCCGGATTCACTTATGGCTTCCTTTCCTCTGAGAATAAGCCTGCAGGCATCTCATCTACAAAGGCAATGACTTATAAGTCCCTTCCTCTGCAGAGTCCAGGCTTTGACTTTCATCATCTTACCCTTGGGAAGCCGTAGACACAGACTGGTTTTGAAGCTGGTATTATTCCCTCTAGGGTGGGATGAAATCCCAAGAGCAAAAGGAGGCCTTGCTTCTCCTGCCCATCCACAGAGCTTCTGTGTGGCTTTAGTTTGCAGAGCTGGGGATGGAGCGCAGGGCCTCAGACATGCTATGTTCTGCCGTGGAGCCACACTCCCATCCACTTTCCTGAGTTTTGCCCTGACTAGTCTCCATGTGTGTTAGCCCATCAATGGCTTTAAATGTTGCACTGTGTTCTCACGGCATGGCTCATCCCTAGGACGGAACTACACATCACAGTAAGTCTCCCACCCGCCTCCCTGACTCAGTTCTGTTGTCCACACTCCACTCCAGTCTTATCAAACATGACTTCTGGGCCAGCCTGCACCATGCTAGGTCCTGAGCAGCTTAGCCAGGGTCCAAAGCTGGGGCTGAAGCCTAGACTCCAGCCTGTAGACTCCTCCCCGACCCCACATCCCACCACCTCTCAGGAGTCCTGGGAAGAGGAAGGGTCACCCTAGGGGAGAGCTGTGGTCTACTTAGATAGGAAAAGTCTACCTAACTCAACACCAACACTGCCAGTCTTAGAAATGCCAGCAGAGAGGCACGCTCCATGGTGAGAACTTTGTGATGGTGACCGTGGTAACAAACTCTCGTGGTCCTGGGATGTCAGTGTTAAAGGTAAACACTGTGGGGTGTTCTCTAACATTCTGGATACGTAAACGAAGGCTGGAAAGATGGTGCAGAGGTTAAGAGAACTTGCTGCTCTCACAGACAACCTGGGTTCAGTTCCCAGCATCCACGTGGTGGCTCACAACCTTCCATAACTCCAGTTTCAAGGGATCTGATGCACTGTTCAGATTTCTACAGGTGCCAGGCATACTCATGATGTACATATATACATGCAGGCAAAACATGCATACACACAAAATAAGTGCTCCTAAGACCAAGTTTTAAAAGAACATTTTATGTGTACTAGTGTTTTGCTTGCACGTATGTCTGTGCACTGCATATGTGCCTGGTACCCTTAGATGACAGAAGAAAGCATCAGGTCCCTCAGGGACTAAAGTTAAAAATAGTTATGAGCCAACATTTGGGTGCTAAGACTTGAACCCAGGTCCTCTGCAAGAGCAGCTATATTCTTAACCATCGAGCCATCTCTATAGCCCTAAAAACATTTTTTTTAAAAACATTGCATGGATGAGAGTCTCATGTTACTGGTCCTGTCCACATCTCCCAGCATGCCTCAGATGGTACTTCATTGCCATATCCTTACCAGCCAGGTGGGGTTCTTGGGCTCCTGGGCAGTTGTGACATGACGGTGCCTTTTCTCTCAGGAGCTGGAGGCTCGAATCCCAGAAGGCCAGCATCTCTTCGAGAATCTGCTCCATCTCAGGCCAGCAAGGGACCCCGACAATGAGCTGGAAGATCTGCGCTATCGTTGGATGCTGTACAAGTCCAAGCTCAAGGACTCTGGCCACCTGCTGGTAGGTGCTTGGGTTAAAGGTTGGGGGTCCCAGGAGGCAACCATGGTGTGGGGAGACAGCAGAACCTATTTGGTTCATCCTGGTACATCCATCCATACACCAGGCCAATGTGGCTGCTCAGAGGAAGAGAGGGACAATCTCTGGTCTCAGGCACTTGACTCACATCATACTTGTCCCTTTTACCTCCCAGTGATGCTGGAGTCCTGTGAATAGTGCGTACAGATCTCTTGCTTCTGCCATGACAGAGTTGTATGTACATTTCTCGTTTGGTTCTAAAGCCACTTTCTGCTGGAGTATTGGCATCCCATTCTCTAGAGGGGAGAGCTGAGTCCCACCCTTGACCCCAGTGCTTGAAGCTGGGGGTCACAGTTCTTCACTGGCAGAGACTGTGTCTGTTCCATCCCTCCATCCCTTGGGTGTGGTGCTGCCACAGGGATGATGGGTTGGATGCCAGTGCTCCTGAGACTCAGCCCTCCCTTCCTCTGACCCTGGCCTAGAACTTTAATCTCCTGGACTTCCTGTCTCCTACACAAGCCATGGGTAATGATAGCCTTTGTTAAATGCTCTGGTCTCATAACACGCCCACTCATAATCCTTCACTCTGGACTGACGACAACAGCGACACAAAGAAATCAAGTTCCCTGGGCCCAGGAAGGACTAGGTGAAACGACCCCCTCTAGAGCTCCCTTTTCAGGCCTCAGAGCCCTGAAGCCACAGCCTCAGGCATGCCAGGCTTTTCTGGCCCCACAACAGCCAGTTTGGCCGCTAGGTGTCAGCCCAGCCCAAGTCAGCTAGGCCGCATTCCCAGCCCTGGCCAAGGCCATCTAGACAGTGCCACCTGGACCTGAAGTGTGTTAAAAATCTCATTAAACAGAACCCCCTGCTGGCACAGGCTGTGCAAATGACCAGAAATGTTAACGAAACACTCCCCCGACAAAATGAATAGTCCGCTACGGGTTTGCCGGGGTTTAAGTTTTATGCGCCTAGCTAATTTTGACCCCATTTCTTCCCCTTCCCTAAAATAACAGACACAGACTTCTCCAGGGGAGCTGACTGCATTCCAGAAGGTACGTGTCTGCCATCTGCTCCACACAGCTAGAGGGCAGAGAATGTTCAAGGCTAGAAAGCCTGTGATCCTGGGGCAGGGTGTCTGGGTTTTGTAGACTGTTCCATGAGCTCTTAAGAGTACGGATAGAGAACAAGCTTTGGGTTGTAACGGGCTAGGCCTTGAGGTATGTGTTCTCAGAAAGCCCCAGGCTCGGGAAGGGATTGACAAGTGTGTGTGGATTGGCCTTGACATACCCACAGTATAGGGGCAGGAGGGACCCTAGATCCAGACCCAGAACACACTGGAGAGCAGCAGATATAAACCAGGACTAACCTAGGAGCCTGGTCTGTTCTGGGAAAATTGGATCGTGTGGCCTCTTTGGCCCTAGGGGACATGTTAGAAAGGGGTGATGGGGTCCTTTGCTCTACCAGGCGCGTTTACCCTTGGTGTCCATTGAGAAGTCTGGCTTTACCAATGTTAGTCACCGCTAAAGTGAGGACAGTACCAGTTCCTGTCTCTAGGTGGCGCTCCCCACTGCCCAGGATTGGTTCTTGGGAGGGGGGGGTCTCAGTTCCATTTCCAGGGCTGTGACCAAATATGCAGCAGAAAAAAAAGCTTGAGAAGGGATTTGCTTTTTTGGCTCAGGATTTCAGAGCCTACAGCCACAGTCATTAGGACTCTGTGCTTAGGCAGTGTGTCATTGCATTGGGAGCCTGTGACAGAGGATGGCTGTCCACTTTGTGACCAACCAGGGAGGGAAAGTGAGAGGTTTGGGGGGTGGGGGGAGAGGAAGAGGGAGAAATTGGGGACTGGGACCTGGTATGACCCTCAGCCAGCTACACCCCAACTCCCACAGGGTTCACAACCTCCCCTTGTTAGGGACGGATCACGAGCCTGCGGGGCTATTTCCCATTCAAGCCAGGACACTTGTGGCTAGGGCATCTCATTGTACCTGACATTGACACCAAGTAGCCTTCTTAGCTCAGCTCTAAGCCTTTGGGGGGAATGGCATGAAGACCTGATGTGCTGACTGCCAGGCATGTGACTGCTGATGGCATCGGCCCTCAGGTCTCAACACCCATGCCTTAACCTTTCAGAGTGCCCTGGAAACACCCTGGGCCCTTTCTCCCCTTTTCTGTCCCTTGATGTCCCCGGTGTTGCCCTTGATTTCTTGCGCAATATCGACCACGGTGACACAAGCCCCCAGAATACTCTGGTTCACTTCAGGCCTCTCGTTCCCCAGAGTCTAAATCCCAGGTGTGGGCACCCTGGACCTAGTGGGCCTCTGTCAGCTTGAGGAAAATGGGTGACTCATGGGTCAGGGATCAGGGTGACATCATGGATCAAGGCTGCACCTGCAGCCCTTGTCCAACCAGCTTTACGACCTTGTGCAAATCACCCTGCCTTGGGTTCCCTTTCCTGTGTGTGAAATGGAAATGTCAATGCTGGCTTAATTTACTCCATGAACTAATTCTGAAGGCTGTGTGAACCAGAACATACCAAGGCAGACGTGTTTCACCCAGGATTCTCCCCAGTTCAGAATGGTGTGAAACTCAGGACCTGGGTGGTGGGGTGGGGGGGTGCTGGAAAGGAGAGGTGACCCACACTGCCTGGCCTGGTGGCCGCTGGTGGGCCAAGATCCGTGTTCCCAAGATCAGGATGTCCCAAGATCAGTGTTCCTTCTGCCTGTTGTTGCTGCACTTTAAGCCCCTCCATGGTTGGGAGTCCCCATCCATGCAGCCTAGGCTAGAGTTGATGAGAGGTGTCCAATGGTTTGACACTGAGACATAATATCTTCTACAAAGAATTTTTTCTTAAAAAGCAAACACAAAAACAGAAAACCCCAAACCTCACAATGTTTTAAGTACGTTTATAGTTTTGTGTTGGACCACATTCCTAAGCTGTCCTGGGGTGCATGTGACATGTGAGCCATGGATTGTACACGTCTGCCAAACAGATTCTAAGTGGTGGCTGCATTCATTTGTTTTATCAGTACCAAGTCAGTAATGACCTTGTGACAAAGGCTGCTTAATGTGCTCAAAACTCATCAACTCCAAAAGAGTGATGGTGTGTCATCCTAGAGCAGGACAGTGTACCCATCCTGGCTGGGACATCTGTGTGGAGCTGGGGCTTGGTCATCTTTGTGTCAGAAGGGTAGCAACCATGAGAGCTCATAACTCCGATGTTTACCAAATAACCCTGTTTAGCTACGGCTAGGAGATGTCAGCATCATACCGTTGGGTATATAAACTAGGAGGTTCTATGTGCTTATCCATGCTATGTTTCAAACAAGTAGATGTACAAAAGGCTGACTTCAATTTTGGCTTCGTTTTAAGCCAGCAAACCTCAGCTTCCTATGAAGAAGGAAGTTATTCTTGGCAGCTTGATATTCACCGACAGTTAGGATGGCCTGTGAACCCAGATGGCTGCGCCCACCCCTGAGCTCCTGACCCATTGGTGTGGATGGTTCATAACCCAGTGTTGCTCACACCTCTAGCTCAGGGACCACACTTTGAGAACTGGTGTCTTATGCTCTGCATTCAAATCCAGGCTCAGTCACTGGTATGTGTGATGTTTGGCAGATTACTGGACCATGGAAATGAGTCCACTGAACTAAAGCAGGATTTCTCCTTCCTACTGCCTGGCACATAGTAGGCTCTCAGTTGTCGTGTATGTGAGGGCAGATACCTGCAGACACTTGTCCCTGCTTCCCACAAGAGTAGAAAGGGCAGTGCACTGACACGGAAGTCTTCTGCTAGTCAGCTTTCCGTTACTGTTACAAAGTGCTTGAGGAAACCAGCTTATGAAGAGGCAAGGGTTATCTGACTCACAGGTTTCACAGAGTTTCCCAACCATGGTCACTTGCCCCTGTTGCTTTGGGCCTTTAGTGAAGTCATACGTAGTGGTGGGAACATGAGGTGGAGCAAAACTGCCCTCCTCACAGCCAGGAAGCAAAAGAGGAGGAAGAGGAGAAGCCCACGGTCCTTTTCAAGGACAACCCCCAACGACCTAAGGACCTTCCAATAGGTCCCACCAGGTTTATTATTTATTTTATGTGTTTGACTGTTCCACCTGCATGTATGTGCACCACAGGCATGCAGTGCCTGTAGAAGCCAGAAGAGGGCATCAGATCCCTTAGAACTGGAATTGCAGTTGTGAGCTGCCCTGTGGGTGCTGGGAATCGAACCTAGGTCCTCTGCAAGGGCAGACAGTGTTCTTAACACTGAGCCGTTTGCAGCCCCACCTCTTAAGTGTTCCATTTCTCCAAATACTCTATCTGCGGGGTCAGTTCTGTAACTCACAAGTCTCTATGGGACACTCAAGACCCAAACTCACAGTCCTCATGTGTTTTTAGCTGGTTAGGTATGTGCAATTATTATAGGGCTTCACACACGTGTGCACACACACATGCAATACACATGTGTATAAACTCACATGGGCACATACATACACACATATATGCACATGCATTCTTGTGTGCACATATACACATGCATGCACATACAGGTAACACATGTGTACAGCTGACGTGTGTGCACATGCACATGTGAATACACACACATATACACACACACAAGCCAGCCAGGTAGAACAGAAGTGCCTTCTGCAAAAGCTGCAATCTCACCAACTTAACACTTTCTATAAATTATTTTCAGCCCACAGGGAAGAAAGACAACCTGCTGTGGAACTGATGCCTTATGTATGGCTGCTTCTCCACACTTCCTTTCCTCCCTCCAGGCCTCACGTCATCTAAGGCTCCTGCTACGTCAGCAGCTTCAGCCTGTTTATTTGCATACACAGAATAATTAAGATTTATTAAATCTGTACTGCCAGCGTGTTAGCCAGCCCGGTGCCAGTGGACGCTTGCCTGCAGCACTCAGACACACAAATCGTAGTTGCCGTTTGCATGGCAGCTGGGCCTGAGTCACGTCAAGCCCTGCTGTGGCCTGGGATGTGTTGTTGCTCTCCCTGGAGACAGTCTTTTCACTGGGGCCCCGGACTGACTGGCTGTGCTTGCAAGGGCTGGGCACAGTGTGCCAGGGGGCTCTGGGTACCCTGGGCTCCGCACGTGGGGCTCTGGGTACACAGGTCCACATGTGGGAGTCACCTGAGAGTATTTTACTTGATAGCATTTCCAAGGCTTTAAGACTGATTTTATTTATTTGTTTATTCACTTTGCTGGAATTTAGATTTTTGTTCCAATCTAGTCCTCCCAAGGAGTACTCAAGATTGCTTCCTCCCTCCACTCAGGAAACCTTCACTTGGGATTCTTGGAAGTCAAAAATCTCTGCTGATGATGCATTTTGTTCTGGTTTTCTTTAGGCTACACTGGGGATGTGGGGATGTGCACTTAGCCCATCTGTTTGGGGAACCTTTGCCTAGGGTTCAAGTTCTCAAGAAATAGCTTTCTTCTTCCTCCCTTCATCCAAATGTGGAACGTTCTGGCCCCTCTTTCTATGAGATCGCTATCTGTGTTCCCTCATCCACTGAAGGCACAGCCCCTCCCCCATGCAGCATTATGGGTTTTTCTTCTTTAGTCCCTCCCCTCTCCCTCCCCCCTTCCCACAGTCTCCCATAGCCCAGGCTAGCCTCAAATTCGCTGAATGTGAGGATGAACCTGGATTCCTAATTCTGCCTCTAACACCTGAGGGCCACTGTTACAGGTGGACACTACCATACCCAGTTTCCCCCGAGCTGGGGAATCAAACCCTGGGCTTCAGGCATGCTAGACAAGCTCTCTACCTACTGAGCCACAGCACCCAGCTCCTTTATGGAGACTCTTCAGGTGAGTGCCTTCTGACTGACATTGGCGGTGCCTGCTTTCTTCCTTGGTGGAAAGATCATGGTTGCCTTTCAGCAGGTTCCTGGGTGAGGTGGGATATTATGATACAAATCCTCTGAAGGTATCGGTTGTCTTCCCGTGGTAGAGGATGGCTGTCACAGCTGAGCTTTAAAACAAAAGTGTGCCAGGTGCTGTGATGGACACTCACATCCTGATCTCAACAACTCTCTTCCTCCTCTGCCCCATGGACAGCAAGGCCAGTCGGGGCTGGGGCAGTGATGTCACTGAACTTTCTATGTGTCACCTGCTTACAGCCCAGCCAACAGCCCAAGTCCACCCCATCCATGGTCCCTGCTAAATACATAGCTGGGCTTTGCTCAGCCATACTATAATGCCTCTGACCCAGACTAGCCTCAAACCACATTTGATGCCATCTTCCTTCTACCCACAAGAACCATAAAGTAGCTGGGTAGTGCTGCGTTGTGAGAGAGTTGTCACTAGTCTGACTTCCCCTCCCCCACACACCCCACTTCTCAGAAGCTAACCCCTGCCAGGGAACCTGTAATTGCCTGGGCAGTGAGGATAGTTAATGTATTGGGGGTCATCTTTCCTGCCTCTAGGCAGCAGGAGCTATGACCACATCCCCTCTAGAGGCTGCCCCAACCCCTACACCTAACCTGGCTCCTCTCTTTCTGCTACTTCTCTGGTTACCCTAATGTAATGATGCTACCCCATGGCGACACCCATACAGCTGCTCCTGAATGTGGTGCAGCCTTCCTTGAGTTGAGGACAAAGGTGCCTCTCCTTTGACCATTGCATCCATTGACTTTGCCATGGAAGTCAACCGGTTCCGAAGGCCAGTTCAATGTAGCTTGCCTCCTCTCCTACTCCATCAACCTGGGAGTCTGAAAAACTGTGATTCTGTGGCCTGCCTATCTCACACAGAGATCAAGTAAACCTGGCTTGTGTCCAGATGAGACCTGTACAGGCTCTTCTAGCCCTCAGCTATCCTGGGCTGCAATCCCATGCTTTTTGTACTGGGAGAATAGGGAAGAAAATATGTGGTCAGGGTAGTCAGGCCATCTGGGGAATGTGTTCACCATTAGGACGTACACGGCCCCCTGCCTGGGCTCCCAGGACAGACAAGGACATAAGCTACCAGTGTATCCCAGGCAGAGGGTTAAAGTTGGTTCTGAGGGAGCTACAGTGAGAGGCACTGGGGTGTACTGTGCCCAGCTCCTCTTCACCTTGAGCTGTTGGGGCTGGCCTGTCTTTGTAGTGGATGAGGCCCAGGCAGGTCTTGGGAAAAGACCCCAAGCCTCAGTTGCATTGATATGACTCCTATACTCAACATACTGGGTCAAGATGGGACCTATGTTGGACATCTGAGACCCAGAGTGCCTTGTGACTATCTTTAGCCATGGTTTCCTGTGAGAGACACCTGAGAGAGCATGGGTTTTGCAGTGTTAATAGAAGTTGAGTCTGTGTGTGACCTCGGGCTACTGACTCTCCTATAGCTTTACTTTCTTGCTCTGTAAAAAAAAGGCATAGGCCAGCCATCCTCCCAGAGCAACTGGAAACATTCAGAAAGCTCATGGCCTAGGGAAAGAGTTGAGCATGAGGCCATGGGTGGAGTGTGTGTACACATGTGTGCACACATGACAAATGGAGCCCCAATGTTCTGTGTGGAATATTGGGATAGTGAAAATGTTCACAAACAGTGGGCAGTGAGTGTCTCCGCGGTCACCTTCTGGGTACTGAGGGATAGGCAGATGGCCAGAGCGAAGAGGGTCACATTCTTTGTCATTCAGCAATGAAGGATGCGAACCCCACCTCCTGTGGAACTCTTTCTATCTTGGATAGCTTTGGATAGGACACAGGCAATAATACTCTGTAGAGAAACTGAGGCACAGAGAGGCTCTTGGAGCTGAGATGAGCTAGGATTATCCATTTCCTGCTGACATCTTAAATTATCCTTTGTTAGAAGTGTGTGTGTGTGTGTGTGTGTGTGTGTGTGTGTGTGTGTGCATGCGTGCCCAAATGTGTTCATGCCTGCATGTATGTCCAAGCTTTTGAAACTCTCATTGAAGTATACCTTTTATTTCAAATATTTGGGGTTTTTTATTGTAAAGAACATTTTAGAGTTTAAAGCTCTCAAGTAAGAGGTAGACTCTCTAGAAGTGATGTCTGGGTGGTTGTAGGCATCCCCCAAATTCCTGCAAGCACAGCTGGACCTTCAAAGCTAGTTTAGAAGGGCCAAGCCCAAGGCATACACACATTTGCATAAGTGAAGCCTAGTTCTAAAGATGGAGGCTCCAGAGAGAATGGAAAAGCCCATCACCAACAGCCCCTCTACAGGAGGCTTTGGATTACAGCAGTCTAGCGGTATCACAGCATACTGTCTTGCTCTCCCATCTTTCTCCATGGGCCATCAGAGATTTTTCAATTGGGCAAAGTCATCAGAAAATGTCATGGAGTCAGTTCTGCTCCTCACCACTACCATCACCATCATCACCTCCATCGCCACCACCCATCCTCACCATCACCAGCAGCGCCACACTCTGCCCAGCCCCTGCAGACTGCAGGACATGGCCTATGGACATTGCTGCACGGAAGTCTGCTGTGTGAGAGTATGAGAGTGGCCTTCAGGTACCCCGAAGGTGATCATACAGGAGAGAGAGAAAAAGGAGAAGGATGGGGAGGAGGAGAGGAGAGTCCTGGGAAGTGATTGTGGCACTCCTTCTGCTGATGTTCAGTGTGTCTAGGTGACCATGGGGACTATTTAGATAGTGGCAAGGTTAAGATATGGACCCGAGATGATGGCAGCTATTTAGTACCTGTGACACTGGGCTCCATTTCATTTAATCCTTACACTGTGTCAAGGTGGCAGCCATTATTAACCCACTTTCTACATGGAGAATTTTGATTGGCCACCTCAGGATTCTCAGTGAGTGGTCATACATAGATGCTCTTCAGCTCACCATGAGGTTCTGTCCTCATGAAGCTGCTGTGAATTGAAAACACCATAACGCAGCATGCCTGTAACGGCAACATCCCAGCTCAGCCACATAGCAGCCTATAGGTGGCCAGCCACCACCTTTGTGATTGGGCCGCTCATGGGGAGTTGCTTGCTTCTGCTGCCCAGCATCTCTAGCAGGTGTTGGGCCACATGGGTCTGTCTAGCTCAGGAAGAGATCAAAATTTGAAACCCGAAGTATGGTTCCCACTGAGGATATTTTGCTTTCTCAGTAAAGCCGTTGTAAGTTGAGGACTGTGGGTCCCCCAGGGGAGGGGTTATGTCATCCCTGGCCCACTCTGTTGTTCTGTTCCTCCTTTCAAACCCTCGAATGGTTTAAGGAAACTGCTGAGATCCTCGTGGCTGGCAAAACTGGCATCAGCTATGTGTCTTAGTGTTCTCACTGCTGTGAGAAATTACAAAAGCAGCTTAAGGAAGGGTGTGAGGGTGCAGTCCCTCTTGGGGAAGTCGTGGTGTCTGGGGTCACCGTGTCCACAGCCCGGAAGCAGAGAGAGGTAGATGTTGGTACTCAGGTCATTCCCTCCTTTTTAGGATCAAAGCCCGTAAGATGGTGGTGCCCACAGTTAGGGCGTATCTGCTCACCTCAACCCAGGCTAGAACCCCCTCACAGACATGTCAGAGGTTGGTTTCCATGGCGATTCTTGAAGGCCAATCACCGCAGCACTCTCCACAGTGGACAGACTGTACACCTGTGGTCACACAGCTTAGCCAGCATGTGCCCACTTCCCCTTGAGGCTCCTGGCATCTCACAGTGCATCTCGTGTCGGTTCACAGAGTCGACAGCGGAGGCGGTGGCGGAATCCCTGCTCTCTCCTACAGAAGGCGTGCCGCGTGGCGCTGCCCTTGCAGCTGCTGCTCCTGCTCTTTCTTCTGCTGCTCTTCCTGCTGCCGGCCGGCGAGGAGGAGCGCAGCTGCGCCCTGGCCAACAACTTCGCCCGCTCCTTCGCATTCATGCTCCGTTACAACGGCCCCCCGCCCACCTAGCCCACTGGGGCATACAGGTGACCTCCTGCAGTCCCTCTGGGGCTGACTGCCGGGGGAAGCTAGACAGACCAGACGCCCAGAACAGCCTCAGTCTAAATGCTGCATCTGTTCCCAGAACAAACTTGCTTTTTCTACGATGTCATTTCTGTCTATTTATACTAAATGTGTACTGTGTGTGGTTAGGGACTAATGTACAGAATTTTTATATGCCGTGTATGTATATGCTCAGTGTAGATGACTTCAGATACGATGTCTCTTTGTGCCTGTGGAAGTCCCCAGCAGTGTGCTTCCCTAATGGGATTTTTGACACTTGTGCCTTAGCATCTTGTCATCCCTGGAAGGGGAAATCACACATTACTTTTATGATGACCTGTCACCCAGGAATCCAGATGCCAGTGCAGAAGCCTCTGAGCTGTGAATGTAGCCGAGCAGAACCTGAGCCCTGGGGCTCTTGTGCTTCTGGGTAGATAAAGAGAAGCAGTGATGTGATGGCCGGGCATAGCCCGAGCGGTGAGACCGGACAAGTGACAGAGAGATACCAAGAGAGTAGCAGAAGGATTGTAAGGAACTGACAAAGTTCCACGGATAGATGGCTCTTAGGGCACCGCCCCCTCTCAGCAGCCACTGATAGCACAGACCAGCGAGGAATGCCTGTGACCATGACCTCGCGTCTTCCGGAAGTGGCCGGGGTGTTGTTTGTGTGTTTTCTCTAGGAGAAAGAAAAAGGAGGATGAACCTGACCTTTTATTCTTATGCACAAGAGTACAGCACGCTGCCAGTGGCCCGTGCCAGCCCCAGGAGGCCTGTGCCATCGTTGTTGGGCAGTCCACAGGTTAGGGTGTGAACTGGCCGGCCCACACAAGGCAGAGAGGAAAAGACCCAGCCCATCTGACGGGGTCTCTCTTCCCTTCCTCTGTGGGCCCAGGGCTCACAGCCTAGCCCCAGGCAAGAGCAAGCAAGGTGGGCTCCAGGCACATGTCAGGCATCTGGGGTGACTCTGGGCTATGCCCAAGGCTGGAAACATGGCCAGGGAATTCTGGGATGACCTAAGTGGGTTAAAACTGGATCAGATTTGCCCTAAACTGACACTTTTTTCCTTTCAGCAAACTCCTACTGCCCCCTTTTGACAGACTGAATTTGTCTGTTGAGTGGGGAGTGCCCTCGGGCCTTGTCATCAGATACACAACCAGTGTTAAAGACCCTGAGAGGCACTTTAAACACAGGGCACACTGAGGTCCCAAGAGGGGCCCAACTCTAAGGCCATCACCCTTCTGCACACACACCGAGTCCCTCCCTAGCTGGCATCAGGCTACACCATGATTCATCTTAGTACAGTACCTAGGAAAGGCCGGGCATTGCCAAGCAGGAATGCAACGCCTGGGCGCTTGTTACTAAGCAGGACTCCCCTGCACTTGCCACTTTGCTGAGAAATCGGGGGGCTGGTGAACCCTGACCTCATACCCAGGTTGCCGAGTCCTGATACTCACTAAGAACATTGGGCCGCCACTGGGTCAGAACTGTGGCAAAGAACCTCAGCACTTCCTTTCTCCACTTTCCCATTTCACAGGTGAGAAACCCGAGGCCCAGAGAAGGGAAGTCACTCACCCATAGCCACATAGCAATGGGTTGCTCACCACACTCTTCAGGTGATACCATATGCATTATAGCACAATCTCTCCACATCTCCCTTCCCAGGAAGAACAGGGCTAGGGCGTGTCTCAGAGACGGAGCACCTGCCCAACAGCTGTGAGTCCTGGGTTCCATCCCCAGAACGTAAGAGAAAACAGAAAGAGCAGAAAAGAGAGCTTTTTCCTGTGGATGTAGTCATGTCTCATGGTAAATGCTGGGGAGGGTAAAGCTGCACTATGCGGGTGGTGGGGAACATATCTGTATTTTTAATTATCAATAATGACACTGTGGATTGCTTATTTGCATAACTTTTTAACCAGAGGGGGCTGATATTTTTTATTGCTTTCATATGAATATAGCTGAAATATAACATACTAGCCATTTCTGGGTGCTTTTCAGACGTAACTTCTTTTGCTTCAAGTGGGTATAGACACCTGCTACTGTGACGTTGCCTCCTATCCAGTTACCATAGAGAGTTGGAACGTGTCCCTGGAGAGAAGTGCTGGAGCTAAAAAGCTTTAAAAGACTTCGTTAGGTGTGTGTGTGTGTGTGTGTGTGTGTGTGTGTGTGTGTGTGTGTGTGTTATTGTTCGTTTGTCATGCTGATAATGCTCACATGGAACCATGCTAGGTCAGCCCAGGTATGTGTGTGATAGCAATGCCATTGGTCCCCTACCCTGTGCCCCTCTTTCTGCCCCATCTGTTCCCTGGGTGCAGAATGCAGGGGCAGAGATTACGTTTATAATGCAGATGGAGTCACTGGAGTTAGTGGTCAGGACAACAGGTGAGCTGGGAAACCCTGGAGGTGGTGGTGGGAGGGCGGGGGAGCTGTGATGGTCTGAAAGAAAGTGGCCCACAAAGGGACTGGCACTATTAGGAGCTGTGGCATTGGTGGAGGAAGTGTGTCACTGTGGGGATGGACTGAGGTCTCATTTGCTCAAGCTTCCCTCAGTGTGACAGTCCGTCAACTTCCTGTTGCCTTCTGGTCTACTTGTAGCCAGCACCGTGTCTGTCTGTCCGTGTACCACATGTTCCCCGCCATGATAACGGACTGAACCTCTGCAACTGTAAGCCACCACCCCAATTAAATGTTCTCTTTGTAAGAGTCGCTATGGTCATGGTGTCTCTTCACAGCAGTAGAAACCCTAACAAGACACAGGCAATGCTTTCCATGGGGAGCCAGCACTGAAGGGCTGGCATTTCATTGATCCCCACGCTGCCCATCCCCATTCAAGCCTGATAGATCTTCATCCCTAATGTGAGATGAGAAACCCAGGCTTTTAAAGATAGGAGACTTGAATCCAGGGTTATTGGACCCTGGAGCCCATACTGGGGGGAGGGGACTTTGGGATGGCGCCATAAGCAGCGGTCTCTGTGGCCTCTGGGAATGGTGTCACTGAGTGGCACCATTGGGTTGGGATAAGGAGACTCAGCTTCCTGTGAGCTAGCCTGTGGCTCTCTGAGGAATCACCTCAGCAGGCACAGCCGTGCGGGTCGTTGGCCATCATCCTCATGTTGCTCCAAGAGGCATGACTTGCCCCACTCCCTGGAGCTGAGGCCTCCTCTGCCCCCTGAAGTCCCCCTTCATTGGCCTCACATCCTAAGATGCTTTAGAAGAAGGAATCTGGGGTTCCTCTGCAGCCTGGGACAAAGAGAAGGACAAGCACCTGGAGAGCCACTGCTGGAAGTCCAGGGGCCAAGGGTGTGGGCCACCCTGCTAGGATGCTCAGGCTGCCTGACAGCAAGAGAGACAGAGAAGACTGTTCTTTCTCCGTGCAGTGTGGAGCCAGGACTGACTGGATCAACAAGCTCTGAAGAGGGTTTGAGAACCTAAGCAGAGCTGATCTGATTGTGGCAATCAGATGGGAAACAGGGACAGAGGAGAGCAGAGTCTGGGACCACAGAGACTGAGGGACACTAACACACACTATGGAGCCAAGCTTTATGTTGCATGTGCTTACCACTGTTTAAGAAGAGAGACGGAAAGAAAGGGAGATAGGAAGTGGGGAATAAAAGGGAGAGGAGAGGAGAGAAAGAGAGAGAGAGAGAGGGAGAGAGAGAGGAGGAGACAGATGAATAGACAGAAAGATAGGAGAGAGGGAAAGATGGATGGGTAGATAGATAGATATATAGATATATAGATAGACAGACAAACAGACAGACAGAGGAAGTGTCTTGTCTCTTCTTCATTCTAACCCATATATTAAAGACCTTGGAGTTCCGTCTTGGGGCCATACAGGTGGGAACATTAAGGTAAACAAAGTCTAGACCCTATCACCCAGCTCTCCTAGACCAGGAAGTGTCTGTTTTATATAAGATGCTAAACCCAGACTAGGGCCTCGGCTCATCTGCCTCCCACATGTGCTCAACCTACCAAGAGCTAGAGGGCCATGGAGGAGACCCAGGGGACCTGGGGATAAGTAGGAGGGTGTCTCACCCTCTGCAAGTTAAATGTGGCTCAGAGGGCAGAAGAGATGTACTAGGGCGGCCAGATGAGGGGCAGGAGAAAGGGCTGGGCATAGCAGAAGGGAAAGAAGCTCACTGGCTGGGCTTCTAGGGGCCTTAAGGTAGACCCTTGGGATCTGAGCACTGAGGCTTGGCAGGAGGCTGTCTATGGCTGTGAACACCTAAGTTTTAGACACAACCCAGGAAGGATCACACTCCACTTCCCTCTCAGGAAGGTCAGCCTACAGAGGAGGCTCCTCTGTCCCCCTCACCCTAGTCTTGTATTCTATCCAGTTCAGCATAGAGGAGAGAAGTGGACCATTGCCTCCCTTAACCTACCCGTGGCAGACATGATTAGTTGATCTCTGAGCCCCGCCCCCCTCTTTCCCTCTTTCTTTCCAGCCTGAGTGGTTTTCTTGGTCCGCAAAGCACTTCAAGTGTTACTGCTAATTTGTCCTGTGGGAAGTACCTGTGTGTTGTCCTCATCCCTCATCCTAGCCCCCTTCAGAAGACTAAATTCTTGCCTGCTTCTTCCCCCCAACCCCCACATGAACCTTAGAACATTCCAGTAAGAAGTCAGTTTTCCTTAGCAAGAAAGAAAGGTAGAATGGACCAGGCTGGCACCTAGGTGTATCGACCACTATTGGAACCTGAATCTCAGGTTCATTCTGAGCCCTGCATTTGGATCTGCTCTGTTAGCAGAACTTAGAGGTGTGACCATTTGAAGTTCCAGGAATGGCCTCTGTGCTGCTGGCTGGCTCCTGCCAGTTTCCAGGAGTCCTGAGCCCTTCAGTCTACTCTGGGAACACCCACCCTGGGAAACCTGGGAGAAAAGATACAATACGTGCTGCAGAGGCAGCCACTCCTCTGTCCTGCAGAGCCTGGGCTGAGCCTGCTCTGCCTTCAAATCTTCCAGGAAGATCACACAGCGGCTTTCTGTCATTCTTGGCCTCACTGGGCTCCTGAGATCAAATTCTAGAAAGGGAAAAAGGGCCACAGGTTTCCAGACTAGTGCTAACCTTCTAGCAGGTCACTGGGGCTCCCCATCACCCCATAGATAGACCCCAGAACCTCTCTATCACAGGATTGCAACTGAAGGACTTAAGATCAGCCTGCATTCTCCCCTCAGGCCCAAGGCACAAAGGAAGGCCTACTGTTTGTCCACATAAGAGCAAGTGGGTGGTGGTGGATTGTTTTTAAAAAATGTAACAAAAGCCTGGGGTTTCCCAGCACAAGAGCTACAGGCAGCCCACAGGACTCAGCATTCTCCAGGCACCTGCCTGTTTTTGGTTCCCATGGTAACATCCTAGGTGCTCACAGGATGGTATCCAGCCATGTCTGAACACAAGAGACAGCAGTGGCAGAGGAGTTCAGCTTCCCAAGGGATGCCAGTTTCCTTTCAAAGTCCAGAGCTGACTCAGCACCTCTCAGCTCTTTCGGGAAAGGTCATGTGAGTCCTCCTGTCCCTGCTCAGTGCTATTGTGCTAACTCAGCAGCCAGGCCACCTGGACCCCTGGTGACACTGTGCAGATGAGGGACAGAGCCTTAGTCCCTCTTCTAGTTCTGAGGGAAAGGAGCAAAAGAGACCCACAAGGAAGGACTTGCAATACAGCCCAACTCCTGAGAGCCTGGGCTATGGAGCCATGAGCTTATGTTGAACGCAGAGCACAGAGCCAGCAACCTACTTAAAAGGAGCCAGGCACTGGGTGAGGAAGACATTTAGGGTGTGAACCCAGAGGTGACATTTTCCTGCCAGTGTGGAGCTTGCCTTCCATTGCTTTTCCTCCCCTTATGGACCACAGGTTACTGTTGCTCCTGCATCTTGTTAGCCTGCAGGACGGTGCCATTCCTGTGCAGGGGTTGCGGAGTTCCTCTCCTGTGTCCATCCTGCTGGCAAGCTCTTTGACTCCCATTGTCAGTAAGGGTTGGGAGCACCAGGTTAGAATGCCAGGGCAAGGCTGGAAACAGAGTCAGGCCACCGCTGTCCGGGGCAGATGCTTTGAGAGATCACTGTGTGTGGTGCCAAATTCTTCTAAAAGAGCAAAGATGCAGGGGTTGGGCAAGTTCTCGGAGCTCCTGGGATAAAGAGGTGGACAAGGTATGCATGCATATGTGAGTGCGTGCATGCATGCGTGTTTACATGCATATGTGTATTTGTGTGTATGTGTGTTGCATAAGTGTGTTTCGGTGTCCAGAGCAATCTTTTTCATTGTTTAAAGTGTTCCTTTGTGTAAACAGTACAGAGGGACCATCTCCTCTTGTCACAAGTCTCTGTGATTATAAAACATGAATTTTTCATAAAGTTCAGCTTTCTGGGAAGGCAGGTGGAATTGGAGCCAAATGACGGTCTTGGAACATGTGTGTGTTATCTCGGTTCATATCAAGTCCAGAGCTGACTGAGGGCCCAGCGCCTCTCAGCTCTGTGGGAAGGGCCGTGCGAGTCCTCCAGTCCCAGCTCAGTGCTATTGTAAAGTTGCTTGGAGGTCCCTGCTTCTTGTTCATGTAGTTAGCAGCGGTATTCTGAAAGATAATGTCATGATTTCATGGTTGTTTTATGGTTGTTGTTGTTTTCCTGTATCTGCCCTATGTTTGGAAATAAAAAGCTCTACTTTGGTCTATGAGATACTGTGTGGTTGCCAGTCATTTCCTTCTTCTGAAGTCCAGAGTTATCTGGGGAAGGTGTGAGGCAGAAGATAAAGCAGGATTATGGCTAACTTACGTTTACCTTGTTTTTAGGCAGGACTATTGCTGGTGATTGGGCT